TTTATTTTGTTTTGTTATACTGTTATGTTAATTTGTATGCACATTCACTAGATCACCTTTCCAATGGCATTCCAGTTTTCTTGTTACAGTATCATTCTGAGTTGTCCATAGCTTTATGGCCCCTTCTCGTGGACAGTTTGTTTTAGCATCACATATTGATTAATTAATTAACACCATTAAGAATGTGTCTTTTTTCAGATTCATATTTTGTTTATTTGCCATTTGCAGTAAAACCACATTGGAATAGATGTGCAAAAGTGCCCATTACATATAGCCTACAGGCTGCTTGGCTGTAGCCAATGTGGCTCTGTGTCATGATATCCTCTGTTATTATTCATTGTCTGGAATGACTGTGGTCACAGCTGCGCAGCATTTGGTCCACAAGTGCAAAATTATAATATAATGAATTTAGGATGGTATTGAATTATTTTATTTATTTATTTTTTTCACAAGATCACAATTAAGTAAGTGTTAAGTGAAGTCTTCATTCAACATGAGTTAATCCTTTGTGAGACTCACTTTTGCTGAAATCACAGAAGTAAGTCTCCAGAGTTCGATTTAAAAAAACTCAAATTCTGTCGGATTATGGAGAGCGTTTGAGAACTGCAGGTGTCTTTCCAAAGATTGTCCATTGGATTAAGTCTGGACTTTGTCTGGGCCTTTCTAACGCACTGGGCCATTTTGTTTTTAACCATTCTTTTTATTATTAAAATCTTTAAATTGTACAGTAAACATCCACCCTAGCCTGTTTAGCTGAATCCCACTCTTCCCAGATTGTTCGATCCACCTTCCATCAACTCTGATGCTCTTCCTGGTCCCTTCCAAAGCTATGATTATACTGAGAGTAGATTCCACAAAGATTTTCTTCGGCGTGCATAACTCGTCTTTTCTTCTCCAAACATCACAAAGGCCATTATGGCAAAATCCCCATCAAAAGGAAATGTTGCCAAAGCACACAGCAACATTAAAACCTTTACTGTGGGCGCTGCTGTTGTTACATCTGTCACATTCACAAAAAGATGGAGAAATGGAGCTTTCGCGAAAGTTCACCGTGGTAGACCCGGCTGTTGCTGCCAGGCCACAGGCTGCTCTTCCTCGACTCATCAATACCAGCAACGCCCACACCCAGTCAACCAATAACCACCAGGACAGCAAGTTAAAAGCCGGAGACGCCCACTTCCCGATCTTCTGAAGTCTGCAACCCACTCTCTCAGAAGCTTATCCTGCTTCTAATGGATGCAGCCCGGCTGAGCATGCCGCGCTGCGCTGGACTCGCACCTATGCTCCCAGGGTCGCTTCGGCGGTCATGCTTCATCTCTCTACTTAATCTTCTGATTCTATCAGATGCAGCTGGCCGAGTAGCTGCGCTGAGCCGTCAATCTGACTCCTAATCAAAGGCATCCATACCTGTATTCTTCACTCTTCTGATCGCAGGCTCCCCCATCGTGCTGCCCATCCTGCAGCGGCGCTGAACTCCGGCTCATCTCCCAAGTACATGTCCGCCCTCCTCGCAGCATCTTCCTGCTCTCCTTCTATGGCTTCTCTGCGTAAGCGTTTCACCATTGCTCACTCAACCTTCATGCGGTCCGAGACACGGCTTTCCCGACCATCCACTATCCTGATTATCTACTCTCCAACCCAAGGTTTCAAGCGTAAGGGCGCCTGCAACATCAATGGCCCTCTCCGACATGTCTCTGCCCCTACAGGTCTCCGCTTCTACACGGACGCTGCCCCTTCCGTGGGTTTTTGGGGGATTCTTCCAGGACCACTGGTTGCCGAGCGTGGCCGCTACTTTCCACCGGAGCATCTCCTCTGCCCTACACGAAATATTCCCAGTGGTCGTGGCCTGCGCGCTGTGGAATCACGCGTGGCAGAGAGAGGATCTCTGTCACGTGGGATAATCTCGACGTAGTGGAAGCATTACACAAAGGTCGCTCTTTTCACCCAACATAATGTCCCCAGACCATTTCAACCTCCGTCTCAAACATTCAAAAATCAAGGAGCCTGCAATATAGTAACAGCTCGCTCGGACACATCTCTCTGCCCCTACAGGTCCATGATGCGTTACACTCGCCTCCGCTGCAAAAAGGAAATCTTAACGGACCTCTTTCTCACTCCAGACACTCTTCCCATGACAGCAACCTGGTTCAGAGCTCGACTAAGATCACTACTGCTCCTTCTGAAGTCTGCAATTTGTCTCCCCAGCTCTATACAGCCCACTCCTTCAGGATAGGCGCTGCCACAGGATAGGTGCTGCCACGCGCGCGACCTCGCTGGGGCTCCCCCACTCTTCTCTGCAACAGCTGGGGCGCTGGTCCTCTTCGGCTTCTCCACCTACATCAGGCCAGATGCGACCGCTATCATGGCAGCACAACGTCTACCGGCTTCCTCGTAAGCTCCCAGCAAAGCAAGTAAGCAATAAGATTCTGGTGGCGGCACGCACTTTCCTCAAACGCTCAAAGATTCCTTGCTTCAGCGTCTGGCTGAATATGAGCGTGCGCTCATATTCTCAGCTCGCTCAAAGATTCCTCTGCTGCGGCTGGCTGAACATGCGCGTGCGCGCATGTTCTCAGTTCGCTCAAAGATTCCTCTGCTGCGGCTGGCTGAACATGCGCGTGCGCGCATGTTCTCAGTTCGCTCAAAGATTCCTCTGCTGCGGCTGGCTGAACATGCGCGAGCGCGCATGTTCTCAGTTCGCTCAAAGATTCCTCTGCTGCGGCTGGCTGAACATGCGCGTGCGCGCATGTTCTCAGTTCGCTCAAAGATTCCTCTGCTGCGGCTGGCTGAACATGCGCGTGCGCGCATGTTCTCAGTTCGCTCAAAGATTCTTCTGCTGCGGCTGGCTGAACATGCGCGTGCGCGCATGTTCTCAGTTCGCTCAAAGATTCCTCTGCTACAGCGGCTGGCTGAACATGCGCGTGCGCGCATGTTCTCAGCTCGCTCATGCTCTCAGGCCCGCGCAGTGCGTCCTGCTATCCCAATCGCAGGCCCGCTTTTTGGGGATCATGCACGCGAGCAAGCGCCGTGCTCAACAGCATCCCGCCCGGGCCTAGGGCGCCAAACATGCTCAATCAATAAACATGCTTAAATCTAATAAGTCTAATGCGTTTCCTCATGGGTCTCTCCAAGGTGAAATGGAGCTTTCGCGAAAGTTCACCGTGGTAGACCCGGCTGTTGCTGCCAGGCCACAGGCTGCTCTTCCTCGACTCATCAATACCAGCAACGCCCACACCCAGTCAACCAATAACCACCAGGACAGCAAGTTAAAAGCCGGAGACGCCCACTTCCCGATCTTCTGAAGTCTGCAAGCCGCCGCCGCCCCACCTCCTCCTTCTCGCATGAAGCGTGTTGCCTACTGCCTCTGCCGTCACCAGTGCCTAGGCCCCGGGGGGATCATGCACGCGAGCAAGCGCCGTGCTCAACAGCATCCCGCCCGGGCCTAGGGCGCCAAACATGCTCAATCAATAAACATGCTTAAATCTAATAAGTCTAATGCGTTTCCTCATGGGTCTCTCCAAGGTGAAATCACGCTTATATTATGGTTCCAATAGTTGATCTTGGATAAAACTGCTGATTGGTTATTGAGGTGATCTTAAAGTAAATCCTGAATAGGGTTTAATTTAGTTCATTTTTGGCATTAAAAATTGAGGATTGTATATACACAGTTCAAGATGTCATTATTAATTTTGTTTTATACAACCCTCCTACATGAAAAGCTGGAACTACTTGTGCTGTGCCTGTTTCTGTTACTTTTCACATATGTGCATATATCCATACAAAACAAGATCTTCACCATCTTCTCACACAATTGTTGCCGTCTGTGTTCAGGGAAATTACAAGATAAAGAAAACGATTTTGAAGTTACATAACACCTTGAACGACCATGTTATAACTGCGTAGCACAAATCCTTCAGTTTTTGCGACCAGTCATTGAAGTCTAAACATACATATCTGCTATGCGTCAATAAGTATATAAATGTATTATGATTATTATTATTACAGCAGCAGTGTGTGTGGCCTCCGTACATACAAAAGGAGAGTTTAAAATTGTATTGACAGCTGATTAAGCTGATTTGCAAATCATATGCCTTGCAATTTTGCATTTATTTAAAATACATGGAAAACTGATCACTCTGCTGATGACTGTGACCATGGAGGTGACAAAGTCTTCAGTCTGAGGAAAAAAGGAATGCAATGTCCCTTGTCATCTTAGCTGGCATTACCAGGCTTCTCATCCGCCACTGATGAACTCTGGGTATTAGCAGTCAAGATGCCTGCCAAAGAGACTGAAACCACTGGTTGACTGGCACTAGAGTCTCAGTGTTGTGTTCCACTGGGCTCTTTATGGTTATTACAGCCAAGGATCTCTTTTTACTCCTGTCACCACAGGCGTGTTCGTTCCAGAAGTGAAATCAATACGGCTAAATAGGAATCAGAGAATCAGGACATCCTTTAAACCAGGATATCTAACAGTCATCTCACAGCCTTCTTAGAAAAAACAACCTTCACCTTCGCTTTTCATGTAATTTTGTTGCTTTGATTTACATGACAGTTCTCGGTCGAATGCCACAGTACAGTACATGTGAGAAGAGGTGGGAAATATGGATCTTGAAAAGGTCATAAACTCCTTACACTCTACTGACAAGTGCCCTTTTCTTGGTAGAATTCTCCCTTTTGATGGGAATGCAGTGGTAAAACATGTTGTTATGTGACAGAAGATACATTTATGGTATACAAAAGGCACTGTCAGGTAAAAGATAAATCCTAGAATAATATCATATTAAATGCTTTGGATTTCAACCACCTGAGGGCAGAGACATTTAATTGTGTTGTTAATCAGGAGTATATTTGCCATTACTCCTGAAAAGTATTATATTTAACCTTAGTGTATATTTTTAGTCTTGTGTTTTTATTCATATACTCCTGTCAATGATGCCTTCTATCAATCACTGGCTGTCATTCTTTTTCTGTGTCGTTCACAGGAGCTGAAGCTGATTGCGATGGAGCGACTGGTTCTGTGCTTGCTCTTGTGCACGGCGTTCGTCCGGAGCTACAGCTGTCCGGGCCGATGCATCTGCCAGCACCTGTCCCCAACTCTCACTCTGCTGTGTGCCAAGACCGGCCTGCTCTTTGTTCCACCCACCATTGACCGCAAGACCGTAGAGCTGCGCCTCACAGATAACTTTATCACTATTGTGCGACGCAAAGACTTCTTCAACATGACCAGTCTGGTGCACCTGACTTTGTCTCGTAACACCATCAGTCAAATCACTCCACAAGCCTTTGTCGGCCTGAGAGCTCTGCGGGCGCTTCACATGGATGGAAATCGCCTCACGGTTATAAAGAGTGATCACTTTAAAGGACTGGTGAACCTGCGCCATCTCATTCTGGGGAATAACCAGATTCATGAAGTTGATGAAAACTCGTTTGATGAATTTGTGTCCACTATAGAGGATTTGGATCTATCAAACAACAATCTGCGCACTCTTCCCTGGGAGGCCATAGGACGAATGATCAACATTAACACGCTTACACTGGACCACAACCTGATTGACCACATTGGCGTGGGGACATTTACACTGCTGACCAAGCTAGTGCGTTTGGACATGACCTCCAACAGGCTGCAGAAGCTGCCCCCAGACAGTCTGTTTCAACACGCCCAGGTTCTGTCAGACGCCAAAGGTTCCAGCTCATCTACTTTGGCTGTTAGCTTCGGGGGAAACCCTCTGCACTGTAACTGTGAACTGCTGTGGCTGCGCAGGCTGACCAGAGAGGATGACCTGGAGACCTGCGCCTCCCCAGAGCACCTCATGGACAAATATTTCTGGTCTATTCAAGAGGAGGAGTTCATCTGCGAGCCTCCACTCATCACCAAACATGTAGCCACAAAGCCGTTTGTGATGGAGGGACAGGGCGTGACTCTTAAATGCAAAGCAGTGGGGGATCCAGACCCAGAGATTCACTGGCGCTCTCCAGATGGGAAGCTGGTGCACAATAACTCTCGCACTATCCTCTATGATAATGGGACCCTTGATATTCTCATCACCACTCTGAAGGATAGTGGGTCCTTTAATTGTGTGGCATCGAATGCTGCAGGCATCGCCACAGCTGCTGTTGAGATCAATATGATCCCCCTTCCGCTGTTTGTTAACAACACAGCACACATGAGGGAAGACCCGGGCCTCTCCGACATCACCACCTCCTCCAAATCTGGCAACGACACCAAGGGCTATGACAAGCAGGACAGAAGAGTCATGGTGTCCGAGCTGACCTCCTCCTCAGCAGTTATCCGTTGGCCATCAGAGCGCCACATCCCCGGCATTCGCATGTACCAGATCCAGTACAACAGCTCCGCCGATGACACTCTGGTGTACAGGTATGAGGGTCTTGGAGAGGGCAACAGAGAAAGTGAGGCATCTGCTGGTGCCATCTGCCTAATGCCACAGTGGTCCTTAGCAAACACAGAGATGACGGAGTGATGTAGATTCAGCTGCCAATACATTTAATAAACATGATTTAGAGTAGAAATTGCTAAGCTTTTCGCATTAAATAAATGATATATTTATGTTTTAAAATTGTATTAGTGTTTATTGACCTTTCTTAAAACCAGGATTGTCCCGTTGAGTTTACAGAATTAATGTAGTTCTGACCCCACTCTTTAAAATGTATTTGTTTATTAATGAGGATAAACTTGATACAGATTGAAGGAAAGTATTCTTCACTATTGCTCCAAATGTAATTTATTTTAGTCCAATAATAAATTACATAGAAGGGAAAACAAATTTTTTATTGGTATAATGAGTCACTCTTCAGTATAATTTAATCATCCTATTTAGCCATGAAGCAGAGGCTGTTGTGTCTTAAGGTGGTACATTATTACATACAAGTGATATCTACAAAGCCCCTTAAGGGAGAAGGAGCACGGCTTCTCTAATTACATTAATGCCAGAACTGACCTGAAGCCAATGCCTGGTCCTCTGTGCACTGAGATGTAATCCTTCTGCTGCAGACAACAGTAACCCCAGGTAGTCTCAAAGTGTCTGAGCGTCATGCGTCACTTCTCCAAGGCCTGCAGCTGCTGTACAATATTGTTTAGTCATTGAGCCATGTCTTCCCTGTTTATCACCTCATAGTTTACCTTTGTTGTCATTTTAAACCCAAACCCATTGAAGGCTTTTTACTGGCATTATGTGAAGTGACCCAATCTCCCATCACTCAGCTCTAATGAAGTGTTGGGCCCTTTGTGTCTGCCTAGTGCCTACCAGTGACTGATATCTAATGTCACAGAGAAGAAGGAGATACCTTTTGTGTTTTGTAGTTTGAAACAAATACCACTGTGGGATTTAATACTTCATATGCAATTGGTGAACTGGCACGCAGATGATTAATCATTATGGTATTATGTTTCTTTGCAGGATGATACCCTCCACAAATAAGAACTTCCTGATCAATGACCTGGCTGCAGGGCGAGAGTACGACCTATGCGTGCTGGCAGTCTACGATGACGGGATCACGTCTCTCACTGCCACACGAGTGGTGGGCTGTATACAGTTCCACACAGCCAATGAGGTCAGCCAGTGCCGCTTCATGCACAGCCAGTTCCTGGGCGGAACCATGATAATCATTATAGGAGGAATCATTGTGGCATCTGTGCTTGTGTTTATTATCATCCTGATGATTCGCTACAAGGCCTACAGCAGCCCGGAGGACAACAAAAGAAAGTGCAGCTCCAGTATGCACTCCCAGACCAATGGCAGCCAGCAGAGGCTGCAGCGATCAGTGTCCAAGCAGCCTTCTGATGAGGGTCAGGCCCAGGGTCTCAAAGAGTGCATGGCTCTGGTCCTGCGTGTGGAAAGTGACAAGAAGGAGAACCTCACATCCACCACTGCCATCATGGAGGTCGAGCTGCCTTCACTGTCTGCAGATCGGATGAAGAGGAGGACCAGTGTGGATGCACACTTCTCTGGTCCTCCATCTGAGGACACACAAACGGACAGTAGCCTGACCGGCTCCACTATGTCTCTGTGTCTCATAGGCCCCAACGCTGGCACCAAAGAGGCTCCACGGCTCAAGGACAAGAAGAGTGCTCTGGCTAATATGGGACTGCTCCCCAATGATCTGTCACGAACTAGGCACAGATTTTCCTTTGATGGCGGGGATTACTCCATATTTCAGAGTCATAGTTACCCGCGCAGAGCGAAGACAAGGTGGCATCGCTCCACCAACCAGCTCAACATGGAGTCATCCCCTCTTGCTAACAGGAAAGTTACGTTCAGCAGCACTGAGTGGATGTTAGAGAGCACAGTGTGAGGAACCATGTAGCCTGTGTGACAGCAGTTTGCATACGCACAAACAGACATAAGCACACAGCCCTGTACACAGCAGATGAGACGCAAGCACATTTACCAAGGCAAACTTTTCTGAGTTTCTGAACCATTTTTCTCCATTTTGGCTCCATGTCATATTCCCCAGAGCTCTGTCGATCATGTCTTTACTTTATGCAGCAGTGCCTTACTCTAAAAGATGTACGAATGGAGGATGCTGCTCAGTCATAAACTTCCTCTTTTCCATTGCCTCGCACTCTGACATTTAGAGTGTTTCTCGGATTTTATTTTTATTTTATTTTATGATTTTCCTGTGACATGCCAAGGGAGTGTGATATTCGGATGCGACTGTTTCAGATTAATTGTCCAAAAAATGAGTAAAAAACTATCTTCATAAATGTAAAGTGAATGTCAAGGTATTATGTTAATCATGTTTTTATTTTTATTTTATTTTTCAAGAGAGAAAAAAAAAACTTTGCACAGAAGACACGAGATACAAGAACTTGTATCACCACCAGTCTATACAAATAACAGTAATAATGAAAAAGAACTGAATTTTACAAATGCCGATTTCTAATGTTAGCATAGGGAGGATGGACTTGGAATTTCCTCTATGGTGGCCAGATTGTATGATGTTGAATATTGTGTAAAATAATGGGTACTGTATCTGGCTGGTCTAGATAAAAGACAAAAGATACATATATAAGTATATTAAAACATTGGTGTATGTGTACTAACTATGTAAGTAAGTCATTTGTCACATGACTTTTTACAAAGCATTTGGGTGTTGGCTGCAAGTTTTTACATTAAAAACCTGTGTCATCACTCCTCTTCCTATAGTATGTCAAGGTTTGGGCCATACTATATCCCTCAGAAAAGGGAATAAACATTTTTGTGTGGGTACTGTGTTTGCAAGCATTTTTTTCCCTAGCGTTTCAGCATCAGCAGAGTGTCCAGAGCAGCAGTCACATGAGTCGAGATGATAAATATTTGATGCCTACTGCACACTATTTATATGATTTGCACTTCTGTAAAAGCTGCACACCGGCCGTGGAGCAGAGTGGACTCCCGGGAACATGGCAGCCTGTATGTGATGCTGAATTTAAATGGTGAGGTGGAGTGCACTTCATAAGACGGCACACTAGAGGGAGACAAAACGGCCAATGGACCTGGTCTTGCAAAGAGAATAAAATCATTTGAAGGGGTCTATTGTAAGGTCTTAATCATGGATGTATCTTTAATCCATGGAGATGAGTTGATGCAATGTCTTCAAATTGTATGCATACATTGATATTAAAATCAAATACACACAGACTTGTCTGCAGTAAGCAAACTATAAAATGTTACACAATAGATTTAAAGTTTAGCCAAGTTATACTGTAGTTGACACTTTTTCAGGTAAATATTTGCGAAGAGTAAACCACAAATTGCTATGTCAATTTTTTTAGGAATCCGTAAAGTGTGCAAGTTTTACTCCATTTCTAATAAGTATACATCAATTATATGCAACCATTATTGTCAAACAAACTCAAATTGCTTAGCTCAGAGCCTCCGTCAGTCTTAAAGATTGACCCGGACAGCCAAACTAGCTTACACCGAGAATGGAGTGAAGTGTGTTATGTCTCTTCAGCACTTCTGAGCAAGGGAAAACTGCCGTCACTCGAAAAGAGAGCACAGGAATTCTGTGTTCACTGTGTTTGGTCTAACTTTTGTTGATCACAATTATTGGTTTTACATGACAAACAAGGAAACTTTATAACAATTAATTTATTTTTGAGTGTATTTCAATAAAATGGTAAATAAAACATGTGTTAAAAAACATATGCTCTATAAACTGTAAAAAACAAAAAAAAATCATCTAACTACGTTACTTACTGTCATACGCACTTATGAATCCAAAAGTTGTTCACACCATGTCAACACAGATTTAGCTGCCTGTGTATTGCTTTCTTTCTTCCCTTTCCAATAAATGGGCAGTTGCAGCCAAGCTTAATGCAGCCCACTCTCTGCAGCTCGGAGAAAACACTTAGCCTATTGACACAGACCGAGAGAATGGCTTTAGGCTTTTCCAGCACACAAAAGCTTTACCAGTGGGCATCCTTGTGCAACAATTCTTTATCGAAAAACCCAGATGGCACGGAAATTCCCTGTTGCCAAATTTGCTAGGACAAACTCACTCTTTGGCATATCTACTTTGTCCAAAGGAGATCTGGCAGGTGTAATTGAAAGACACAGATAAGTGAAAAACAATGGCAGTACGATTGACATTATTCCTCTGGTCAAAGGGAGGAATTGATTTTGACATGTGTCCACAGATTTGACTGAATGAAGACTGAAAACTGAACAGGTTCACAGCTCCTTCCTACAGCAGTGAAGTGCCCTCTCCGTGCACAAGTCAAGGAGCAATTCTGCAAATCACTACATTTATTCACTTTGATCATGAACGGCTGCCAGGTACATCCTTTGCATCACAAAAGAACTGCTTTAGGCGGGATACGAGGCAAATCAGGATGTAGTGAAACTGCAGAACTTTTCTATTTCAGACTACATTGCATACGTTGATCTTTGATTTACAGGATTACGTTTTCCGTACTCGATAGCTAGAAACATCTCTTTCCAAATGTTTCCTACGGCTTAGCACCATTCACTCTACTCTTTAAAAACATGTGTTTGTCCCTCAATAACTTATTCTTCTCACCTATTTCTACATATAAAAGAATAAAAAACATTTGCACCAATAATGGAAACAACATTCCAAGTTGTCATTACAAGACCTCCCAGAGAGAACATCCCAAAGAGTCGATGATCAAGGGATGGCCAATCAGCCTTTCCATTTCCTTTTGAAGCAGGAGGTACACGCCCCGCCAGGTCTACTCCTCTGTACTACGGGCTTCGAGCCACAGCGGTGCTCGTGTGATATTACAACAAAAAACGCCCGTGGAGAAGACAGACAGCGCAGGTTTGTTCTCATCCAAAAGCACAATACAATGGTGCAGAGAAGAATCCTAATGCTGCCGAGGGAAACGGCAGGTTGCAGCAGTTCTGAGCTTGTTACTTGCAGTATATTTCAATCTCCAGAACTTCCATCTGAATTCTCCTCCCCTGCTGCCCTCCAATCTTTCCTCCTGTTTTCCTCTGAGTCCGGTTCAGAGTCAGAGGGTTTGTGAGAGGCCTGCTTGCGTTTTTTTCTCCTGGATGAGTGTGTCTCTTTGTCCTTCTCACTGTCACTGTCTACTGAGCTGCTGTCAGAGTCCCTACATCTTTTCATACTTTTCTTGTTTTTATGTCGACTTTTGGTCCTTTTCCTTCGTGTGTCTTTAACAGCACCACTTTCATTACACTCACTGCTGCGGCATTCAGCCTTTACTGGCTTGCTCTCCTCTTTTGTCTTCTTTTTCTTCTTTTTCTTGTGAGAAGATTTTTTCTTGTGCTTAGATAGTTTTGCTTCCTTTCCAGATTTAGATTTTTTAACATTGTTGCTGATGGTTTTCTGCGAATCACTGGAACCACTATAAAAGAAAAAAAGGCCAAATTACTGATACAGAGTAACTTTTTCAATAAATTATATGAAGAAAAAATATTTACATTGCTTCACCTGTCACTATTGAATTCCTCTGGGTAGAGCTCTTTAAAGCCACTGTGTCCCCATCTGTAAAAGAAATATGATACAATACCAATGATATGTTGCAATTTCCGGACTATAAGCCGCTAGTTTTTTCTCATTCTTTGAAAAGAGTTTATGAATGTTTTATTTTGACCTCAGCAAGTGGTGAAGGAGTCGTGGAACTAACGGTTGAGCTTTTTCGAAGTTAAATCAAATGACCAGTTAAAACATGTACCTTATAATGTGCTACATTATAACATGAAAACATACAGACCATATTCAAGTTTATGAGTATGTGTGGGTAAAAAAAAAAATCTTCTCAAATTTAGGTGGTGCGGCTTATTAACAGGTGTGTCTTACAGTACAGAAAGTACTGTACTTATAATTATCTATAATCTTTGAAATGCTTGAGCAGATTAAGTGTTGTACCTATCAGGGTCCTTATCTTCAAACTCGTAGAGTTGTTTCGTCCAGTATCTGGCCTCTCTGTCATCATGCTCTGAAACTCTGCTTCTGCTGATGGGTTTGGAAGGATTTGACTCTCGATCACAGTGCATGTGCCCCCTGGAAAACAACCATCAGCAATCAATGAATCAGAGAGAAAGGTAAGGCTAAGAAGCTCTTAAGCTCTCTACATTAAAAGTTTATATAGATATGAAGTTATACTGTAGAGAGCTTAGGATTTGGTAGCCCTTGCTATTTCAGATTTAAATTCAACTGGGACATTCACAGGTCCTACCTCATACTGCTGGCTGCTGGCACATGTTTGCGTTGGGGCGTTTGGAGCTCCCACTCACGCATTTTCCACATGTCCGTCTCCTCCTGGATCTGCAGTGGAAAAACAGTGTATTTACAATGTTTACTAAAACACTTTTGAGTATAGTACAAATTAAATGTATATGGAAATGAAATATGTATATATTAGATTAGTTGATATTTCTACGGAGCCAGAAAAGTAGATGAATGGTTGAAGGGTCTCTAAGCACAATGTTACACAGTGCACGTAGCAGCAGAATATGATCTAAAGACGAGCAATGGAAAACAACATCTTTATATTATCTGTGCCCAATTAAATTAATAATAACCTACACGCAAACTGCTAACACCACAGCTTTATTTTATCGAGACTGTGAACATGTTTTTTCTAAACTCATCTGTAGGCTCATTTTTCTTTATAAGTCCAATAATAGCGTTACCTTGTTGTGTGCATCCGTGTGTCTGATGACGTTGCGAAGCAGCGTCTTTCCCATCGGCTGTCTCGACATCTTGCTACAAGGAAAATAAATGCAACAGTTAAGTAACTTGTAGGTCACAATCGGACGGAATAACGAATTAACACACCGTTACAATTACAAACAAGCTGAGTTACAGCCTGTGCATTAACCATTTGCTAGCCTAGCTTTCGCTTAGGCGTGCATGCAGATCCGGAAAGAACAACCTTTAGACAGAAAATTCACCATCTAACTAGTTTTGATTAATGAATCATCCGAATGTTTGCTCGCGTAATACCATCATGTATCCTTTGTTTTAGATACAGCACTGTATCTAAAACAAAGCATGTCCAGATCATGAGATTGTCTCCACCGGTTACTTCCGCATTGAGTGGACGCGTACTGGTTACGTCACGCGTACGATGACGTTGTTGATGCCAGTAAACATTATGACGATTATGACAAAGACACGATAAGATAAGATAAAACTTCATTGATCTTAAAATAAAGAAATGTACATGTTACACTCATGGTGTGCTAAAGACAGGGAAATGGGCAAACATGTTTAAAAATAGTGTATTAGTGCACAAAAGGTATTGTATGTACAATTAAAAGTGATTTTGGCAGTGCAAGTTTACAGTCTAATTGCAGGCCATTAAGTCTGTGGGGATGAAACCCCGTTATTATAATAGATCCATGGGATGAAAGCTCTGCGGTAGCGCTCCCTCCTGCACTGAGCTGCCAAAAGGGTGCGCTGAGAGAGCTCCTCAGCTCCTCTCCAGTCCTGTGCAGTGGGTGGGAGGTGTTATCCATGAAGGAGGTGAGTTTGGCTATCACCCTCTTGTCCTGTCCCTCTCCTCTTCCACAGATCCCAGGGGGCTGCCCAGCTTGTTCAGTCTTGTTGACCCGCTCTGTGCTGCCCGGGGGCTTCATGTCACAACACAGTCTGTTTTGTGTCATGCTACAAAATCGAGCACCTCTTCACCTTGAGATTGTGAGTGTGACAATTGGTCAATTGACAAAAGATAAAAACCTAATAATGAAGGTGTATGTACGAATGATGAGTTATAATGATGGGAAAAAACTTGCATTTTGGCCTAATGTCGAATACTAATGGTTATCTATTCACTGTGACTAAACTTACGAAAATAGTAGTGGAATAGTAGAGGCTACATGGATCTATTGTAATAACTAGAGGCAACCACAGAGTGGTCCTGAGCAGAGGCCTTCTCACTCCGAAGGACCTCAGCCTCCTCAGAAGGAAGAGGCGACATTGGCCCTTCTTGTGCAGGGCGTCAGTGTTCTGGGACTAGTCCAGTTTATTGTTAATGTTCCACATGCATGTGAAAACGTGGGATGGAACCAAACATTTTTGAGAACAAAGAGTTTCATGGATGTTTAACATGGAGCTCATGTCTTTGCTTAAAGCTGTTTGGTTCAGATTAACTTGTATACATATAGAAACTGCACAACTAGCTTATTTTGCATTCTGTAGTGTAGCCAATGCATATGCAAGTAAAACGTAGTTTTGTGAGGTTATTTTACCCCCATATGAGATCCCTATATAAAAGTTATTCACTAATTAGTGAACTTTTGTTGTATTAAACTGGCACTGCGCAGGATCAGCATTTTTCTTGTTTTCATCTAAATGTTGTTTTGCCTGGAGTGATCCACAATAGGGTTAGGGTTAGACTTGTTATAAACTTGTTCATTGAATACTACCGATTAACATCACCATGCTTAATACAGGTCATATCTGCAGGGAGGTGAGACTACACAAATTCATATTTTTACCTTTAAAAACATCTGTGATTAAATAATTTAGAAGTTTTATTAAGCAAAATCCCACGATATAAGTTTGTGATGGGATTCTGCAAACTGGTTGTTACCACTAAGATGTTATTGCTTTGCTGGTATGGTATAAGACTTGTGCATTATTTAAATCCAGAAAAATATGTTTTTCCCATTTATTGTCATTTGTAATGATCTGTTTCAACTTTGGTTCAATTACATGCAGATACAATTGCAATTTCTAGGGCTGGATATTTTATAGCCTGCCGATACAAAACATATCTCAATGTTTTTCAATGTGATACGATTCAGTTAAAAATATAAACTCTTGGAACCTAACTCTGGTACAACGCGTCAAATGGAAACATTTATGTTCTAATTGTACATGGTCCCTTTTAACTAAATAAACTAAACTAAACTTATCTTATGCTTTGCCCCATTTTAACAAATATACAAAGTCTATACAGACTATTGGGGAACTTATAATTACTTTATTGAAGATTGATTGTTCTTGTAATATATCAAAGAAATGTGCTGCAGCTACAGTCTTCAATATTTCAATTCAGAGATACCTTACGAAATTGTAACAAAACAATTACTATTGGTGGTTTTTGTATATAAATCATGATACAGAATAAATGACGCTGACAATAAAGTGTCATTCTTTCTTCCTTTCACCATAATATCTGTTGCAGAACAGCGTCTGAATTGTATTTGACAACAAAATGGATGAGAGTCTCAGCAGTGAATCTTATCGCTCTGTGCTGCTCTGAGCGTATCTCTTTAAGGTCAGTGAAATAAGAATTGAGGATTGGTAAGTCTTTTTGCGCTGGTACAAAAACAGTTTATATTCACACTCCACTGCGGCCACGTAAACAATGTGCCCTTCTTCTGCAACTCATTTGATTTACAAATTTCCTGAGTGCGCATTGTCCCTGTGGCCAAAGGCCTGTTTTCTCCACAGCTCTGAGATGACTTTACTTTGAATGTCAAAGTCACTGTTTTCGTTTTACTTTCTGCATATTACTCACTCATTTCCTCAATAAAAAAAAGTGTTTTTATTTTTATGTATTTTACAATTCTCTGCCACATGCAAACAAGAGGGTATTATAAATTAAAATGTGTTTTTAAATATTGTGAGCTGTCCTCATCATTACATGATTTTATATATATATATATATATATATATATATATATACAGCTTAATGGTGTTAAAACACAAAAACACTTTCATTTATAATACCCCATTGTATCTATATATATATTGTATGTATGAATTGATTAATTTGTAAGAGATGGATGAAAAAGTGAATGTATTATTCTTTTGCAAGGAGTCTATTATGATTGTGTATATCCCTATTCTCATCTGCATTTAGGTTCAATCAGAAGAAGAGGGCGGAGGAAGGAATTTTTCCCACCCAGTCTTAGCATGAAAGAAGAGAGCTGTGGGGGAGGGTACAGGCACCCAGACACAACCATGTCTGACATCCACGCGTGCTGAAAAGAAGCAAGGCTGCTACAAAGACGCCGTGGCCGAACAGAGACCGAGAGACGGGGGTAGGGAGGGAGGTTTTCGGTGTGAAAGATGCACGAGGGCTGCATCACTGGGTGTCCAGGAGAAACAAAAAAAACATTGTGTTGTGAAGGGGAGCTGAACTACCAGGCGCGGGCAATGAGAAGCCGCTGAGCACAAGCCTCCTCCTTCTGTCTCCCTGCATGAGCCTGCCTCTGCCAGCTGATCCCCAGCTCTGCTATGATTTAAAGGTATGCGTTATGGGTTTTCATTAGGGTTGGGTTTTTTGCATGAGGAGTATGCTTCTGTAAAGGATTTGAACATGCTGTTTCCACTGATTGAACACAGTGTGCGACCTGCAGAGTCCCCTCCCTGCTGCCCCTCTGTGTCTTTGGGCTATGGTCCTGACTCAGAAACAGGGCATCACCCAGATGCAGCTCTGGATGTTCCGGAGGTTAAGCCTGTGAGAAGCAGCATGGGAGCCAAACAGATGAAATGGTAAGTGTTGTTTGTTCATTGCTATTGCTCTGCCTGCTTCTTGTATGATGCAGGAGTACCACATGTGATAGGCCACGGGTCATCTTCATCAGCAGGTGCTGTCTCTGTGATGAAGGTGCATTCACCATGACAACATGACGTTAATGCTTAAAGCTTATTGTTCAGTGTTCAGAGCAGGAGGTGTGGGTGTGTCCCTGCATGTTTCTCTGCAAGCTCAAGGCAGCTATTGCCTAGCAACGGCCAACTTCCTGAAGCTGCTCTTACCTTTAATCCAAGAACAAATTGAATAATATATCATATTATACTACTATATCAAATCCTCATTTTATTTTCATTTGCCAAAATGTACACTTTTAGTTGCATTTAATCAAGTAATACAAATGAACATTACAATGCAAAAGTTTTTTGTTGCAGATAAGGACACATTTATCGAGGTTGAGGCAGGAGACTATCTTGACAATGTCATCGTCTGCAATGGCAAGATTAGTTGTAGGCTTTGATCTTCTTACGACAAACACAGAAAGAATCAATGCAGCATCAGATAAGATGCTCACTTCTTGTTTTTACATGACCCAGAGCAATTAATCCTGTCGAAACAACAGCAATAACAATCTGCAGGAGGTATCTTGGACCTGAATTTGGTTTTTCATAGTCTGTATCACTCATATGTATTTAAAAAACGACAGAATGACTGAATAAACTACATTCAAAGTAACACAGTCTTACGGTAAGTATGTGCTCTAAAATGTGGATCATTTTTGATCGTGTCATCATGAACTGTGCAAACGCTTAGCAAGCTTTCAGGGCGTTCTATGCTTAGCCTCAGTCTGACATGTATTCACACTGATGTATTTTTAGCTCAAAGACCAGGGATATATATTCCTGTCCCACACAACTGGACTATTCCTTACAAAACACAACGTCCAAAATAATGCTTTAAGGCACATGGCATAATGCTTGCAAGAAAAACCAAGTGGAGATGACAGCTGGCCTCAACCTCGAGTGCTTTTTTCTGTACTCACAAAACAAAAGCTACATACGTAACTCCTAAGCCATCCACAAAGCCGGCTGCATGTTTGGAAATTATAGCCTGAAGGGAAGCAAACTATGTCAAGAATTTCCTGCGTGAAACATGACAGAGTTGCTGCTTGGACTGACGTTTTCAAAGATTAGTGCAGTCAGTTATCTTAAAGTTCAAATTAATCAAAGTGTTGGAAGTTAATGGTACACAAAATGTTTATGAGTTATACTTTTGGTTGTGTGGTGTAAGCTACACGTGTGCGTCATTAGGGATTATTTATGTATATTCTGTTTTATTAACATAGATCTATTTCTTGCACTTCATCTGACAGAAAATGCAAATAACTGACTTCTGCTTATGCCACCATCTGTTCCAGCCTCTCTTCAGCCAGCCCTGCACATTCCCCTAAAGAGGAGTATGTTATTACCCAAACCACAGACGAATCTAAAGAACAGACGTCCTATGAGGGCCAAAGAGAAGCTCCAGAGGACATATCTGAAATGAGAGAAAAGAAGTCAGTTACAGGTTAGACATTACACCACACACCCTGTAAACATGTATTTATAATGATATATTTAAAATGTAAAATACATAAAGTACACATATACTACTGGCTCATACTTGTAGGGTTGTTCTAGGGGTGTTTCATTTATTCATATTTTGTAATAATCAAAGACCCACACATTGAAGGACACCTGAGGCTGAAAAATCTTCAACAATCAAAAAATGGAGGATTGATTTCAATACAATAATGTTGTACTTTTTAAAAGTATCTGGATACATATCTTTTCAGAAGGCTCTGAAAGAAACCCAGAGAAGGCACTACATTTTTAGTATTTGTAAATGTACTACTATTGAGGATCTCATTTGTTGTTTCCTCATATCCTGTTTTTTTTTTTTTTTGTCAGAAGAGGTGGTTCTCTGTGGCTTGTGTCCGTCCCTGGGGCAGAATGGGCAGGATGGGCAAGAGGGGCAGGAGGAGGACAAGTCCTGGGTGGAGCAGCTGGACGCTCACCAGGAGCAGCTGGAGAAAGAGATGCATGAAGCGCGGAGAATGGTGTTCCGCCTTCAGGTATTTGAGCAACTAATCGACCAAGTGCTATCACATGATGACACAATTTTGACAAATTCAAACTCTTTTCTTATGACTGTGACTTATTGTTGTTGTTATAAGTTAATCATTCATCAAGGAGGAGTACCTATGAAACCACATAAAGTCAACAAACAAAAATAAAATGGTCAAATTCACTAGTTTTCACACGCATGTTTTAGATCAGCTCTTTCAGACAGAAATTGGATTTTCTTTCAGATGAACAAAAACAGATTGAGTAGGTGACTGTTTGATTGCACCACATGGCTCCGCGTCCTAAATTATTCCACTGAATTAAGAGCTTTACTGTCTGCGTTCACGATCAGTAATTTGACGACTCCATATCCGTGGCCATGGGATGACCACCTACACATAATCCTCTCCATCCTTGTTTAGAAAAGTCGATAAAATTGACTTTGACCTCAAGGCTCAATCAACGAATGTCTGATTTTTAAAACTTTCTCTTGATTTAGCCTTGGTAATATCTTCTGGGAGGCTGTAATGCGTCGGAAATGATTGCTTAACGGATGTTCTGTCTTGTTATTTTACAGTAATAGTACTATAAATTAATTTTGTCATTATGAAGTCAAACTTGAGCATAATTGTTTAGCTCCTGTTGTATCCCAAAAAAGCGAACTATATAATGTCATAATGTAAATGTACTGAATATGAGGTTAAAAGATTATGTTTTATCATGCTTTTAAAAATAGATTCTTTGATGGAATTGTCTGAAAGGTTTGGCAAATGCTTGTACAATACAGTATCTATTTTTGGTAAAACACACTCGAATATTGACAGTAAAAAGTATCCTATTAAATAATGTGATTGGTTTGATACCATGTTTGTTTTTATTTTTATGTTTTGGAAGTTTCTCTGGGCAGCAACTTTTCCCCCAATAAATGTTTGCTTGCAGTTTGTATTGTGGTTAGAAAAACATTATTGATCCAAAAAGGAAGCTCACATCTTACAATATAATAATGAAGATATAGACAAAATCCAACCAAAAAATAACAATAATAACCTTGAAAATTATCAAAGTAAAAAGAATACATATTAAAAGACTGTTTTTCTGATTTGCTTCGGTTTTCTAAATTGGATGTGGACTCGTAATGATGAAAATAAAGAATGAATAATTTACTAGGCAGCTTCTGCGTGTGCACTTTGCAGAACAATTAGTCAGGTCATTAGTGCTTGTTTTATTGATTGGTGTGATTATGTCAATGGGGTTAGTGAGTACATTTTTTGCACATTTTAAATCTTCTTAAACAGTTTTCTTGTTTTCTTTTAGGCTCTGCTGCTTCACGGCTCACTACCTGAAGAGGACCAGGAGGGACCAGCGAGCTTTGGAGACAGCCGAGCCAATACTGAACAGCAACTGGTGCAGCGCCCCCTCTCTGTTCTTCTTTAGATAGAAAATACACTAGTTTAATATTGACATATAAAATCCAAGTCACCAATATCACCCTATGGCCCTTGAATTATATCACATGGCATTATCATTCACTCTGATCACAGTGGTGGTGGTCAACTAATACTTTATCCACGCTGACCCTCACCACACCAGATTCATACCAATGAATGGCATTGTAGGTTTTGTGTTTTGCCTAACAACACTTTAGCACTTTACACCTGCAGCGAACCCACTGTGGCACCTGGTGTTCCCAGAGACTTCCCATCACAGTACTCACCAGGTCCTGCCCTGCTTAGCTTCAGTGATCTGACAAGATTAGTCTTTCACCTGCAATACTATAAGTATGGTTAATTAATGTTGTAGGGTGCCTTGAAGAATAAAGTATTTGGGCTTCAAGTACAGCAATCCACACTTATTACAGAGATGAAGATAATACACTTTGGGACATCTGCCATTCACCTTACATAAAATCTGATCTACGCTTTTGATCAAACCGTACATATTGATTATGAATAATTCCTAATTTCATCATAATACATTTTTTAAAGACATTGCATTCAAATATTTTAGACATGAAACGGTTGAAACTGTTGGTTTGAACCGGTATTTTGAAAGGTATTTTTACATTTATTCCTTAATTTATGGATTGATGGCTCATTCCCCCGCTTTGTTATATTGAATCAAATGTCTATGTAACTTACTGTAATGTTGATTTGGAGTGATGTCTACATCTAGATCTGTGCCCTTATGTTGTAAAGCACAATCATTCTCTGTGATCTGGTGGCCCTCGCTGTCATCTCCAGACCATACACATCACACAAACATCAGACATGCTTCTTATCCTTCTTTTTTTCTTTCAAGGTTTTAATCCGAAGCCGTTTGGACCAAAGCACAGAAGAGGCCCTTGATCTTAAGGTACTGCACTCAAATGTACAATAATGGAGATGCAAAACAATAGCTTTTTTGCTATGCTGTTAATATGTTGTTGACATTACAGAGGGATCTTTTGAGACACAAACAGGAAGTGCGCCACGTTCAGGCCATAAAGGTATACAGTGTTCACCCTTTTTCTTGTCATATAGACAAATAATAATGTTATACAGATTTTCTATACAGGATTAATTTGTCTGATTTATTTAGCCCCCTGTGCCTACCCAGTGAGATGTTTGATCTATGCATGTATATATTAAAAGATAGAGAATGTATCCTTTTGTGGTGGTCAGATGCTGTGAATAAAGCATGTGTATGAGGCCTAGTTCCTATAGTATCCTGGTCCTCTGCTGATACTGTTTCTTTGATGTACTCATGTCTCATTAGGATGCTCTGCAGCAGCGGCTGGCATTGCAGGAGGACACAGTGCTGCAGCTCAAGCAGGAGCTACTGAGGTGCAACATGGCCAAAGATCAGCTGGAAGGGGAAAATGTGAGATGTTATTATATCCATTTGACACAGTATACAATGTGTCCTGGCTGACCCCAGGCTGCAGCTAATGGGAAAACAATGGAGACTCCATTTTTCAACATGATGTGATGTGTTTGCAGGCAGAGCTCAAACACAAATTGAGTGAACGCAGCAAATTACTGGGCGAATATGAGGTATTGTCTTCTATTATTTATATCCCAGTTTTTTCTCCGGATGCACATGTGTTTATGTTCATGCTTTGGGTGATTTATGGTATTCATCGGACTTGTCACAACAGCAGCAGATCGGGAGGAAGGACCGATTAATGCAGCAACAGAAGCCTGATGAAGTCTCTTATAAAGCACATGAAGTCAACCTTGGACGGGTACAAATTCTCTATATTCTCACCTATATTGAACTGTATGTTTCTGTGTTACATACTTTACTTGCAATTAAAAAATACTGCATGACTTGTTCACAGGGGGAAGAACTGCAGCTTGTGAGAGAAGCTCTTCGCAGTTTGCGGGACAGTTTCTCGGGACATGATCCGCAGCATCACACGTTGGACACTCTGGAGCAGGGCGTGGCCAGCCTCATGGACCGTTTACACTCACTTGACAGCCAACTCAGACAGGACAAAGGAGTGCGTAATGCATTCTCTCCGTGAGATAATTCAACAAATACTTACAGATCACGAGTTTGTTGATTCTGAGAAATCCACTACTATCTTCCAGGAGGATTTCAAATCACCAGGACGTAGAGCCAACTCCACAGACCGTGAATCCTGGCCACAAAGCTCAAGTGAGGACACTCAAATCTCTTTTTCTGTAGAATCCTTTGTTTACTTCTTACCACAGCTCATCCATAACATAACATTCAAGTTGAGGGCCATATTGACTTTGAATCTACTGCCATATCAGAGTAAGCTTTATCTTCTCTTACATAATTATTTTCAGAGATGGCACACTCTCAAAGCAGCCCCGGGTTGGACACAGCCGTCTCCACCAAAGTGCTATACTTTACTGATCGCTCGCTCACTCCCTTTCTGATTAATATCCCGAAAAGGTGATGTTACATGTATATTTGTGTGGTTGTTGTCTGTGCTTGATTCATGTGCCTGCTTCTCTGCCCAAGCCTCTCCATGGTAAAATATGCATATGCCATTTCATCTGAATTATGCTTGGTTGAACGCTGCAGGCTGAGGGCATTAGGTTGGAGCCATGTGAGCCCAATATAAATGCATGCTTCTGTGGTTTGGCTCTTTAAATGTGTATCTTGGAGGATGTTAATCTATGTGTGGGTGCGTGGTAGTATGTACACAGATAATGAATGATGGCTTGTACTTACAGGCTGGGTGAGGTGACACTGAGGGACTTCAAGGCCGCTGTGGACCGACAAGGCAGTTTCAGATACCACTTCAAAGCCCTTGACCCGGAGTTTGGCACCGTCAAAGAGGAGGTAGGAAAATTATAGTTGCCACTGCTTGTACCCTTAGCTTCACAAGGCAAATAAATGCTATGGGGTCTTCAATGCTAATAATAGTCACAGCAACACTGCTGGAGAACTCATTTACATCCCAAAGACTCACGAGTCGTCATTTTCACTTTGTGTCTGGATGTCTGTTCGATCATCATACACATTTTTTCCTCAGATATGCAAATTGTGAATGCTCTCATAATGTGTAGGTTTTTCAAGACGGAGCAATTGTGCCTGGCTGGGAGGGGAAGATTGTGGCGTGGGTTGAAGAAGACCATGGAGAAAGGAGGTAGACGTCAGAGTTTAACATCAAAACGTTGTCAAAACTCACTGGACAACACAAGAAACCACTATATTATTATTTGTGATTGTGATTTCACTTGAATAAGTACAAGATAATGACCGGGACCAATGGATGTAATTTTACAAAATGATGTTTGCAAACTCTTTAATACAAAATGTCATCACTTGCAATTGTTGTAATTCGAGCACGCACACATCGCACATTTTTCAATCTCATGTAGGCCTAGGCTATAAGATAATTATTAATAGAGAGTAATGCAATACTTGAAGCTGAACAAGGTATTTTACATGACAGAATTGCCATTCAAATGCCAAATACGCTGTTATGTGTAGATTTACCATATGTTCACGTTGCCAAACAGTGTTCCATGTTTTAATGAATAAAGACAAATGCCTGCATGGATCAGTTGTTGTTGGTTATTGCCTATTTATATAGTGGTGTGAACCGCTGCATCTCATTATACAGCCCTCCACACCATCATAAACAAACACTACATGTATCATGCTACTAATTAGGTAAATCGTTGCAGTAAATTGGCATTGACAACCCAATCCAGGATTTTGACACCAGGAAATTGGTTATGTACGCAGTACAAAAACAGCTTAACACTTAAAAGTGTAATATGATTTACATACAAGTGTTTAATTAAAGGTGTATAGGAGGATTTTCCCAGGTTTTAGGAAAGAACCGCCCTCTCCACTTTTCAAACCAAACTCTCTGGTCTTATTGGACGAGCACGTGTCACCAGAATGATTGACAGTTGGGAGGACCAATAGTCTTAATGATCCACCCGGAAGTAGAAAATCCTCCTATATACCTTTAATTGAGTTCATTTTCACAACTAAAGAGGAAGGAGAAATTGCAGAAAATAAGTTGAACTGTCACTTCACACGTATTGGTTTATGTTGATGAACAAAAATATAAAAAAACGATTTCCATTCGTAGTCTTAAGGAGTTAACAAAGGCTACAATCGATAGAACACACATTGAACAACATTCCCAACGGTCTCCTTCCAAATGAGGTGCATTTGCCTTTAGTCTGCCTACCTTCAATTCAATCAATCACCGTTTATTTGTAGAGCACTCATGATTATCTTTTCAAACAAATTGTACATACCAAGTGCAGTAGTAGTTCTATAGCCCTAGCTGAGGATGTTTACACTCAAAGTCAGCTGTCTTTTCTTCTTGTTGAACACAGCAGTTGCAGAATCTTCATCGACATAATTGGGAAACTCCAGGAGCAAGTGATACAAATCTTCAACCTCCAGTAAGACATCATCCTTTAAAAAGAACAGTTCAGCCAAAACAACACAAAACCTTAAAGGCAATGATGTATTTTTCATGAGTTTTGACATTCACTGGGCTGTGGAGCCAGCCCTTTATTATAAAATAGTTCAAGGTTGTGTGAACGCACTAACCTTGGAGATCTGCAGTTGGCATTCTGACATGTTGGAAACCTTTGGCAGCTCCACTGTCAGCTCCACGCGGCGAGGAGCTGCTGATGTATCAGGCCTCACCTCCAGCTGGTACTCAGGCCTTTGTGGCTGCGCAAATGTGGAGGAGATGACTTGGATCAAATTACTTTTTTTATGCTCTGTAGGTTCATGAGCTACGAAAATATCCTCTTCTTTCTCTGTATTGAGGGAAGAAATCTTCTGCAGAAGGGAAGCTGGTGTTTGACAGGCTGAAAAAACAAATGAATAATATTGTGAAGATGGGCAAATGATCAAATGCACAGTTCACTTGTACTGGCTACAAATCTGCTCGTAGGAAAATGGACAAAACATGTTGGCGCAGCATTTGTCTATTGTCTCAAGGCCATCTCACAACATTTACATACGGGATATTGAATTGAGTGGAATATTTCTGGCTGAATGTGCAACTGTCAGTTCAGATAATCAGCAACATCTATCATTTCCAGCCTGTTTAATAAATCACTTTTTCTGAATCACGGAAAGCGGTATTGAATTGGAAATAGCACAAAGAAACCACAAAGTTATGCTTTAGTTTCCATCAATTGTATAATACCTATTCCTCCTCCGCTGTCAGCTTTATTGCCCATACAAGGCCACTGCTGAAATCCAAGGCGACGGTACAAGTCCTCGGTGGTACTTCTGGGGCTGGAGCTAACGGGAGTGTACCGTTGGGATGATTTCAGGTTGTGGTGCTCGTGTGCAAAGTTCAGAAGGAGAATGTAGAGCTGGTTCATCTCGGTTTCACACTTCAGCAGCAGCTCCGGATTTACTGCCACGTCCAGCACAGCGTACGGCCCTGCAGGTGAATCCACAGAGGTGTAATAGTCGCATCAAACACACTGCATGTTTCTGCCTTTCTCTTTACCTTGACCTCCTTCATCCTGTGTTTCCAGTTTACCGGCACACAAGGGTATTGGCTGACTGGGATTCTGGGGAGCTGGCACACGTTTCCAACTACACAAGTTGATGTACAGTAGCCCTTGATTTGGTTTCTGTTGAGAAGGCAGATATTGTACTGTACATAATTGGCCATACAACATACTATTTCAAAAGACGAATGATACGACCCCATATGTGACTCACTGTAAAATAGTTCAAGTTTTTTACTACCTCATCATAAAAAATAAAACACATTTACATTTAAACATTTACATGTTGATTAACTTAAGAACACTTATGAGTGATTCACATAAATTCTTATTGTGTGTTACATACGGTATTGGGTAGTAACAAAATACATGTTATCCTATCCAGAATACCATTAGTGACTTTCAAGTACAGTTACTTTTCGAAAATTGAAGGAATACATTTTGGTATTTGATCAAGCAAATTAGGACAGATATTACAAAAAACTAATAAAAATTATGCTCTTATGAATGTGTGTTCTTTATTTTCTAATCCATCCATCCATCCATCCATTTTCTACCCTTTAATCCATTTCTGGGTCAGGGGGGTGGCAGTCAGAGATGCCACCCAAGTCTCATAGCACCAGCCCCTCACTGACCCTCTGCAGGTGGTGAGTCCACAGGAGGACGGCTGCTCTCTGAGTGTGAGCATAGCCTTGATCTTTCAGCGGGGGCTTTGGGCAAAGTGGGGTTAAGTGTCTTGCCCAAGGACACAACGACAGCAGTCATCAGTGGGAGTCGGTGGAGAAGGTGCAGAGGTGGGAATTGAACCCACAACCTTCTGGGCTTAAGGCCAATGCTCTACCAACTGAGCTACCGTCGCCCTAATCGACAATTAAAAAAGCAAAACAAACTGCAAAAACTAAGTTATAATTTTTCTATGCTGCATTTTTAAAATCTATTACTATACATGAATTCTAAATATGGTACTCTGTAAACATGTAAAGGAATGTTACAACACACTTTTTTATATCAGGCATTTTGAAAGTATTCTCCGGAACACAGATTACTTGTAGGATTAAATATTGTTATGGAGAAGCATGAATGGTAGATGTAAGATTGGGATTGTAAGGACTATTATGAGATGAAGCCAAGTTTGGTTAAACTTTCTCTCAGGGCCCCTTTGCACATTTAAAGAAAGATTTAACCTAAATTGTCAATCCATATATTGAGTAAAGCATTGGTAGACCCAGAGCATACCGTCAGCCCACAGACAGAGGCCACAGCAGTGGGATTCCCGCTCACCAGAGTTTGTGCACAGATGCTGGAGTGCAGCTCAGGCGCGGCGCTGAACTCAGCTCCTTCTTTCTTCTGTTTTTCGATAAGTTTGTGATAGGCCTCTGTGTCATTCTGATACAGATCATCCAACATAGACCACATGTGGTTGACCTCCAGCAAAACGTCGTCTTTACTGCTTCCTGAAGATGGCATTATTATTGATGGCAAAGGGATCCGATGTTAGCGTAAGTTCACACGCAAATGAGCTTGATGTGAAGTACACTTTCCGTTTCTCGTTAGTCAACGTAAGTCGGTTTATTAGTTAACAATTAAAACATAATGTCATTTTTGTAGCATTTGCTGCGTGTCCTTTTAACTAACGCGAAAGGCAAAAGTTAACCTGTTGACTGTTTTTCGTTTCCATGGTAACAGTCTCACGGCCCTTCGTCAACAAGAAGCGCTTCAGTATCGCCCTCAGGTGGTGACGCGAACAATTGCATCTTCATCACAAATAGTCAACATCATTATATTTTTAATCTTTTTATTATATTTAAATAACATATGCGTTATATGTTGATACTTAATACATACAAAAAATTACAAAAATATGCATCAACTCTTTAAATACTTTAAAGCGTAGGTAACATACACTCCGTACTAGGGCTGGGCAATAAATCGAATTTATGCAATTAATCTGCTTTTGAAAAAATCGAATTTGTGAAAAATGTGAAAGTTGTGAAATCGAATGAAGGATATTGTGAGAGTTCCAGCAGTACATGAATTATAATTGCAATATCAGCACAGTCTGTACAAGATTTTTATAACACGTATTGGGGGAGACAAATTAAAAATAGTTTTGAAACTTGAATATTGAGCGTTAAAAGATCTAATTTTAAGGGAAAAGTCTGTCTTTGGTGACTTTAATGAAAATCGATTTGAAATCGAAATCGTCCAAAGCAGGAAATAAGATTTTACTTTTTTGCCATATCGCCCAGCCCTACTCCATACACTCTGCAGACTGTCAGAATGACCACACTATTCACTATATAATCTGCTAATGAGTGCAGGACTATTTAGTGGATCAGTGCAGACATTCTTGTTTCCAGCTGTACTTTCCATGGGTTTCAAAATGATACTAACTTGACAGTTATCAAATTAAATATAATATACTAATTCAATCCATGGATAACCTTGTTGCAATTTTAGTAATTCTGCAAAATAATAGAGATTGTTAAGCATCTTAAACATACAGATTTTTTGTGTTGATTAAAATGTCATACGGTAAACTTGTCTCACCTCAATCATGTCATAGATCCAGCCCAAGAATTCAGCCACTTTGGTATACACACCAGGATGATTAGGTTCAGCACAACCAGTCCCCCAGCTGACAACCCCCACCAGCCTCCACACGTTATCATCCTGGCACACCAATGGTCCCCCGCTGTCCCCCTGAAAGGTATGCACACATCACCCTCTGGATCTTCATGTCCTGTGTTTGTGTCTACCGTAAATCACACAAGACATTGGCCTAGGGTTGAAATGTGTCTAACCTGACAGGCATCCACTTTTCCCTCTGTATATCCAGCACAAAGCATCCTCGATGTGATTTCACCATTGTACATACAGGAGCTATTACACTTTTTTGCACTTATTATAGGAACAGGAGCTTCTTTTAACGTGTCTGGTGATTGAACTGCAAATTACAAGATTTTCACATCATTACAGGCTGTTTTTGAGAGGCTTTTTGTGTTGCGTTTTAAATAGTTGTTGAGTATGTCTTACTGCCATCAGGTTGTGTGTAGCCCCATCCAGAGATCCAGCATTGTGTTCCTCCGGGTAGATCATAGTTGTATTGTGGCAAGCACACTGGTCGTATTGTATCTGTGTTATTAAGGGTAAGGGTAATTTTAAATTGCAATGCAGGGTGAAGTGTGATTTTTCTTTCTGTTTATAAGTTGTTTTTATTGTTGTTGTTTTTATTTTTTTATTTAAAGAATAACCAGATGAAAGAATGAAACAAATTAAATTATATACTGTATATAGGCTTGGAAGGAAAATTGCAATTTCACACAGCTTCACTCTACCTGAGAAATTCAATGGCGTTCGCAGCTTCATCAGGGCTATGTCACTGTCATGACTTCTGTGGTTGTAGTTTTTGTTGTATATAATTTTTTCAACAGCATATCCCAGGTGTTGAGCCATTTTAGCTGAACTGCGGGTGACAATGCCAGCATAGACCACCCAGTTGGACACTTGAGGAAGTCTGTAGCTGACAAAAGAACACAGGCTGAAAAGTAAGATCTAATATATTTTTTTCTTTGCATTTTAAATTGTATTACATTTCTTTTGGAGTCATACATCAGTCAATAAAATATAAACAGACAGTACAAGCACAGTTATTTGAACAAGATATAAGAGAAAAGGAGAAAATAAACAAACATAGTTGATAAATATACAGTTAAAATTAAATCTAAAAAAATACAAAAATAAAACAGATAATGTATATAATAAACAATAATGACAATGAAGATGGCTGTGGGGCTACTTATGTATCGAGTTTTGTTTTCTTACTGTTTTTCGTCGTCCTTTATAGTGCTACTAGAGTTCTACAGGACAGTACGAGAGTATACAGACAGGATGTGTGAGTGATCTAATAATCTAATATGAAGGAGTTGCAGATGCCAAAACTTATTCAAAGTGATGTGCGTAACCTCTATAACCATGACACAGAGAAAGTCAGAGGGCTTACTTGTGAACACAATGGGCGGCTGTGACGACCCATCGACTGGTGATGATGGAGCCTCCGCAGTTGTGGCGGTTGCTGTAGTAAAGGCTGACCTGCCACGGCCACCTGCCCAGCGCGGCCTCAACCCCTCCGATTATTCTGGGCAGCTTTGCCCTCGTCCCACACTCTACACAGAGATCCATTCATCAGCACAGGTCACCACTGCAGCAGGTGTCATCCATCACTGCCTCTGCTTTCCATGCACACCTTTACTTTCAAATGACTAAAGAACTGGCTTTTGTACATCAGTATAGTCAGAAATTGAATTAGCTTACCAGAACATTGCAATGCAATAACCTTTTCGGTGATACAACTTTCCCTAAATGAGTTAAACACAATAGTTAACTAATGATGCATAACTGATGTGTTTGGATGTTTTTATTGACAGCCTCATTTACCTTAGCTGCCACATCGTTTCCAGTCCACGTTTGCTTTCTGAAGCGATTTGTACAAAACCATTTATGTAGCTTGGTCCAATGTCAGTAAGATTTACTCCTTTATGTTTGGCCAGACTGAAAAGGGGGAATGTTGGAAACAAGGTTGTGGATGTAGGAATGGTGACATGCAGAATAAATACACAACAGGCTTTAAATGATGTGACAGTTCTGCACATACCTGAGATAACCCAGCTGTCGACACACCAGTGTTCCCAGAGAAGAGTTCCACCTCTCGTAGCACACAGGCAGCCAGGTGGGCACTTTGCCCAGCTGGATCTCCAGAAGGGAGTTCTCTGGGCTGATTCTGTAAAACACTGAACCTGATTCATTCAAAATCTCTCCAAAGAAGACAACAATTGCATTTTTTTTTAAAAACCAAGTAGTTTTCTAATGTATGTTTAGCCAACAGCACTGTGCCTAGCACTGTGTTTCATGCCAGTCAGTATTACGTGGAGTGGCTCTTTGAATAGTAATGCAGATGCACTCAGAGGAAGAGTGTGACCTGTACTGATTAGACAACAACACACACACACACACACACACACACACACTTGTTCAATACGGATGCTGAATGAATAAATCTTAGCTAAAACAAACCTTTTCTAGAGTCAGAGATGGAAATGTCTTCCGTCACATTGCAGAAAGACGTTTCTTTGGTGTCACCTAAGCCCACTGGACTGTGAGTGGAGGAAGGTTTTAGGAGTAATTTGACTGCAAGCATAGTCAAACTAGATGTTAGAACAGTTGTGTCTCAAATGTGTGTATACATATAACGTTGTTTATTTATTGTATTTTTGTCTGTGATATTGATATGCCATGAATTGTGTGCACTTACCCAGAAACCAGACCCCAACAGCCAGACCCCCCAGCAGTCCAACAGCACACAATGCAGCCAAAAACCTCACAAGTCTATGAGCTGCAGCAAAAGCCAACATTAAGACAATAATGACAATACAAAATGTTAATAATAATCTAGATGCTAACCAAAAGACTGAATCCAAGTTCTGCACTGAGCGTCTTTGGTGTCTACAAGTCTGGAAGTTTTCTCTGACTGAAAGGTTGAAGGGACAACTGCTGGATTTTCAATCACTGATAATGACTCTCCATCTCTACTCTGTAAACAAAGAAGTCAGAACAAATCAAAGGCTTTCCTTGATGACCATGATGACTGAATTTGTCAACAATCAAAGTGATAGTCAGTTTACTTACAATTCTTATTCATCTAAGGCAAATGTTTTTTTGTTGGATTGGTTTCATTGTCATAGTTTGCTTCTATTTCATTGAAGCACTTTGATTTGTTAATCATTTTGAGTTTGATCTTAAAGGTGTGGTTTTATTGACACTTCTCGGTAGCCACTGCTGCACTTTACAATACTATTATACTATGTTGTGGCTATACGGTAACATTGAGCCACATACCGTCTTGGAACCGTTTCCTGTATCTATACCCATTAATTTGTTGTAAAATGATATAATGAAATCATTGTATAGCCCATCAGCGTACATGAGTATCTAAAGAAAGGCTACGGCTACGTAACAGTGTGAGTGTAAGCAATCTTCACATTCGATGGCTAAAGTAAAGTATCAGAAAGTTGAGTATAGTGTGGTCCTTACCATGTTTTCCTTCCTTATAATCCGTAGTAAAGGTGCATGTGTTTGTGCTCATGTGTAGGCCTGAGCAGGAGGCGCAGGTCTGTTCCACTCACCGTTGATGCTCCATTTAACAGAATGCAAGTGTGGATTTTCCCTGGACAAAGAGACAATGAGGTCAGCAGTGGTGCAGAGAATGAGGCTGTTGTTTGCCCTGTGGGATCATGGGGCCGGAGCAAGCTGCAGGCTGAACCAGGTCTTTGTCCACGGAGCATCTCAGGAGATACCTGCGAGCTGGACAGTGATAGGACCCTGGGTTGCCAAGTAACCCTTTTACCTGTGCCAAAAACTGTCCACTTTCACAGCACGATCGGTCATTACCTGACAGTTTGTAGGTTCACGGAGAAGGTCGTTATTACAGATTGTTGAAAAGTCTCATGTCATGTCCATTTGCTGTCATTCAGGATGCTCTCAGCACTCAAGATCAAATTCACATCTGTTCTTTCCACTTACCACAAGACTGTGTCTGGCCCACTTTCACACACCAGACTTCTGCCTGCGCTCTCCTCAAATGTGACAGGGATATTGGCTCTAAGAGGGAGACGATTTATGACCTTAGCAATTCAATCTAAAGAAAACATGTTTTAGCTCTGGCTCTAACTGTCACCAGTTAGTACTTTTGTTAAATATCAGAATCAGAATTGTTTTAACAGTTGATGAAGGAGGAGGTTGCTTTGGCTCTCGGGGCAAACAAGTTATACAAGTAAAAATAGATTAAGGCACGCATAAAAATAAATTAAAAATCTACATAACATTTCTTAGTTACTACTAGATAAAAGTGCACTAAGAACACTTAAAATTCTTTAAATAACTAATTGCACTAGGTAGATACAATAGACCTTTAGCAATGCAGTAGAGTGACAGTAGAATTAGGGGCAGGGGACATAAAAAAAAAAAAATCCAATCCTGTTAATAATGCTGTGTAAGTCTAAGATGCCTTTGCTCTCAGCTGTTTCTGTTGTTTCTGTTTGCAGAGTCAGACATTTCTGATTTCAGGAGTTGTTTCATGAGTTTCATCAGGCCAATCTTGAGCAACATTTGTTGAGGAACCCCGCTGGCATCCTGGCTGCAGTCCAGGTTGGAGCACTCCCTGTCTGCGAAGGCCAGTTCTCCCTGTCTGCAGAATTAAGATTGGATCTGCTCAGCCTTTAGTTTGTGTGCCTGTTCCTGAGGCCAAACCTCCTAACAAGTGTGTCCACGCCGGTCACTGGAGAAGGCGGCTACTTGTGGGGCCTGTGCTTGCCGGCCCACTGAAGCATGTATGTTTGACAACATAGTTATCTTGATGGTTTGCCCTGGATCAAAATGTTTCAGGAAATCTGACCAATATAAAATCAGCCCCAAAAAAGTGAGCCATTTTTTACAATGCCAACAGACAGATTTCTTTACTGTTTTGTCTTTTACCATGGTAATTGTATTGATGCCTTCAAATGGAGTCTCTGCAGGCCTGTACTGTGGCCTGCTTCTCTAGTACCATGCTGCCATCTTGTGGTTGAGTATTAAAAAGCTGAAGTCGTGCTCATCCTATTGGGTTGAATGTGTTACATCAGCAGTCACATTAAACATTCAATTTGTCATTTACAAGTTAAAGGTAAAGGTGCACTTTATTTATCCCTGTAGGGCAATTCATCTTTTATATTTGACCCATCCTGATGCCACTAGGGCGTTTATCAGGAGCAGTGGTCGCCGTAGTACAGCGTCATCTCCAGAAATTGATGCTTGGTTTGGTCAGGATTAGAGCTTGAGGATTTCTGTGGTAGGGGAAACCTATACGCTAGCACAGGGAGAGCATGCAAACTCCACTCAGAAAGACCTTGTTCCGACTGGGATTCGAACTCAGGACCACGAAGCAAGTGCTATCTACTCAACCACAGTGCCGCCCTTACAGCTTTTACAAAGAATTAATTCAGGAAAAGTAAATTAATACACAAATATTTGATTGGAGAGACTGGAATTAGCCACGTCATTGTACATAATTGTAAATCATTTTCCATGAATTCATTTTTGCACAGCCCAACATCTTAAAGGGCTTTGAATTTTTTTGATTTATCATTACCAGATTAGAAGATGATTGGTCCTTAGACCTTCCCTCCTGTGCAGAGGAAAAACTCAAAAATTCAAAAGCCAGTGGAATAAATATAAACTGCAGTGAAGGAGAGATCCCCTCAAATGGACGAAGGGTTTTGCTCCTCTACATTTGGAGGAGCAGGAGCTCAGAGTTCCTCATATGTGATTGAGCTTCTATCTCTATTTCTAAGGGATCGCCCTGCCACTCCATAGAGGAAATTATAAGTTTGATGTGGTGAGGGTGAGGACACCAAGGGAGGTGTGAGGAGAGGTGACTGGGGGTCCAGTCCATAGTTCCAAACAGATATTTAGTTATATTTCGCAAATACTTCTAGAATTGTCCTGAAAATACCCTGTGACTGTTTCACTCTCTTTCTAAGTTTGTTTTGACAGTGATTAGTATCCCTTTGTGTCCTAGAAATGCAAACCAAGTCCATTATGTTAACCTGTCCTCCCCTTTCTTAATTCAAGGCATAAAACCATAAAGTTTTACATTAGATGTCAAATAATGAGCATGTGCTATTCTTGACTATACATTGACTTCAGGGGTCTCCATTCGTTTTTCTTCATTTTGTTGACATCACGTTTAACAGCTCTATTACACAGTAGACTTTTCGGAGTGGCGAGCGGAGTGCCTCTGTGCAGCGCTATAGCATCTTTAGAATGGGATACAGTTATTAGCATTGGAAGTGACAGGGTGAATAAATAGCTGTCATATGTGTGTTTGTGTCTTGTCGTGTACAAGCTAATAATGGTGTGAGTGGCTATAAGAGCACAGCAGATGGTAGCTAATGTGGTTTGCCTTAGCTGCCCACCACGCTTACTCTAATTAAACAGAGGCGATTGCATTAACACTGGCTCCCACTCAGTCTGCCCCCCCTCGGCTCCTCGACACTGGAGCAGGACAGAAAAAAAGTGACCAGACCTAATTCCTCTGTACTCATTTGTTATTGTATTTTTTGGGAGGTGTTTCTCTAGATGTTTGTCCCACTAGATACTTTTGCTTTCCCTGTAATATTCCTTAGCATGGCATTAAACCTATCTTTCTTCTTGCATATCAATCAAACTAAAGCAATTGCTGTAGATGTAGCTCGGCTAAATTGTTGACCAAAGTTTACCATTGGTTATTTTTCATGTTTACATTCATCTGTGTTAATGGAGTGAACATTAAACATATTGTAATTTCATTGGGGAACATGCGGGACTGTTGTAAAGCTTTTTTTGTGTTGTAATTGTTTTGTGTCTTGAAGAACCGTTTGAGTGCTTCTATTATTCATAAGAAAACAGTCCACGGTGGAGGTTGCAGTTGTGCGTCTGGGAAATAGATTGGGTAATAAAACATTTGCAGTGCTCCCAAGGGATACTTTATAGCCAAAAACAATGTATGTTCACAAATAAAGGCCATAAGTAATATTGACTCACATCCCTTTGGAAAATATTGGACACTAGTCGCTGTTCACTTGTAATGTGGGGATGATGAGCAGTCTTCAGAGTTCTTGAGAGTGGAGCCGCTGCCACTCATCTTGTCTTCACTTTTGCACTTGTTGCAGACTCCAGCTGTGGCTCTCTGTCTCAAAGGTCATCAGAGCTGGGACTCACTCCAGCTGTTTATAAAACCCCCACAGGACGCCTGAACTTAGTAAACAACTCAAGATGATGGAAAGGTTTTGGAAAGAATCTGTTACACTGCAAAAAAAAAAGTAACCCTTATTCTAGGAAAATTATTTTAGTAGATTAGGCCAGTGGTTCTCAACCTTTTGCTCAGACTAAATAGTGACCAAAATGTGTTTTCTGTGACTGATTAAATACAGTTTGACTGGCTGATGAGCGACTTAAACAGCTGATTATAGCACTAATCACATAAAAAAAAGTCTGTATATTTTCCTGAACCTTGTGTTGTCCCGCTCTGCTGTTCATATAAACACACTGAAGCACGCTCTGGAGCAGCTCTATCCGCTGTTTGGCTCTATCAACTTCCCAAACTCCTTTCTGCACCTCAGAGGGCGCCCTATAGCAAAATAAAAATACATAGTGATATATTGGCTGCAAAGTTCAAAGATCTTTAAAAAAGTTGCGGCCTATAGTCCAGCAAGTACTGTAACTTGATCATTGATGATTAGTATAGTCTTTTTTGTAATAATGAAAAGGTAACTGGATAAGGTAAAGGTGGCTGGGCACTGATTTACAGAAATACCATATATTATTTTTGCGATATTTTTTTTACTCATTTGGCTTTGGGTTCATTGTTTACAGTAAAATAATCAGTATATAATGTGCGTGTTCCCGTTAAATTAGGTATCGTATGGCCGGATGGGAAGAGAAAAAGGCCAATGCGCAATTTAAAAAAACGCTAAATACCGGCTCCCTCATGGCGACCCCGGATTAAGAACCACTGGATTATTTATCTGCCAATATCATTTTATATTTTGAATTATTTAAATCAACATAATTCCCTTTATTATTGGTAAGGTAAACAACTTAACCCCTTTTATAGTTTCTATTTTTCCATAAACTGATCATTTGGATTAAAATGGCATTTTCCAACTGTCCTGGAGGAGGACTTGCTTTTTACAAATGTTCTCACTGTAAAAAAATAAGACCTATATTTGTCCAAAATTGAAGAATGTACATGTTTTAAACCTATACATACTGTATTTAAGTCAAATCAGCTCAAATCATAATACTATGTTTGTAATTTGTTTGTAAGTTTTTTCAACTTGCCCTGATCATGTTTTTGTTGCCATGCCAGGCAGACGCACACGAGACATAAAACCAAGTGCATAAAATGGTAAACAGTTTTATTCTTTTTTGAACCATGCCACTGAACACTGATGCATACAGAGTTGTGCCTGAATCCACACAGAGGATAACACTTTTCACACACTGTGTTACAAAGCTGTAATGAAGAGAGAGTTTACTGCACACATGGCAAGAAGAACAACCCTGATTGGACACCAGGTCGAGCTTTGATCTGGCCCTGAGGTAGACAGACATTGACAAAATCTAAACAATGCTAGTCACATCCTTCTAGAACACACCAAATAAAAGGACATCTGCATTATCACAACATAGAAAGATCAAAGAAATCCCCTTTTCTCACAAAGTGCTCTGTTTCTTTTGGTCCATTGGATTTCCATTAGTGCATGTTCATGTGGATACAGTGAATGTGTATTTTCATGGCACTGAGTGTTGTTGGCTACTTAAAAGGCATGAGGATGCCCACAGACGCCAAGGTTTGTTTTATTCACTGGTTTCATTTGAAGATCAGTCTGTTGTCACTTTAAAATAACTACATATTTGAGACAAGTGTGGACTATTTTTTAACATCAAAATTGCTTGTATCTTGCATCAGAAGAACAGCCACAATCACAGTTTGTTGCTTCCAGTTGCAATGTTCAGACGAGTGGATCTACATGGCAGTCTATTTTAATTAAGTAACAATAAACGAACACTCAGAAACATCTACCAATAGCACAGACCCATGTACTCAGCACATCAAGGCTCTACTTATAAAAGAGGCACGAGGGAGGGGTTGTATCAACACTTAAAAAACACACAGTAAGATGTCTCTCAACTCATACCAAATGTAAACAAATAGCAAATTACTGTGGTACAAAAATACGACAAGTTCAACTCTATAAGGCCGGTACGGCTCACAAAAGGGAATAACGTGACGAGTGGTACAGTACAGCTACACTACAATTAACAATTACCTGCTCATAATGACACAATGTCAGCTTTTTCATATTGAAAAAACTCATTTTCACATTTTCTTGACTTTTCATAGAAAAAAATCTGATTCTTAATTTTGTAAGACATCTATATGTACTATATAGGTAACAATAAAAACTACACATAAAAGCCATGAGGCATTATACACATTGCTGACCATCAACTTTGAATGGTGGTAAGAAAATTTATGTTTTGACAAACAAACATTTCAGTAGGTTTAAAATAAATCAGAGGTAGAGCTTGCTCTACTTAATATAAATCATCTTGAGATGCTGCCTGTGATACACGCCAGCAAATATTTGGTAAGAAACACATATAGCAAAACAAACTACATTTAGCCTGCTAGCCTGAACAAACACCCACTGCAAGAGAGACAAGGCAGTTAAATATTTCAAGCTTATGAGGTCAAAACATGGCAGCCATTCAAGTAAGACATGCAGAAAACAATCAACTCTGAAAATAAAACCAAAAGCAGAAAAACAAAGGTGGACTGAGTGGTTAGTGCTCTCGCCTCGTATCAAGAAGGTCTTGGTTCAACACCCGGCCGGCAACGGGCCTTTCTGAGTGGAGTTTGCATGTTCTAATTTACTCCGGTTTCCCCTACCACTAAAACAATATGTACAATGGGCTCCTCCCCACTGGGACCAGGATCCTGAAATCTCAATGGGTCTATCCTGGTTAAATAAAAGTCAATAAACTGTGGACAAAATGTGAACCCAAAGTTGCGACGCCTTCATGGAAAAAATGAGTCAGTGACACACAATCCTGGAAGTGACGAAAGCTTCTGCTACACACAAGCAGTGGCAGCGTGATTATTTTCTGTTGTGCGGATGTAGGTACAGTCGTGTGTGAAGCAGGCCTATTATAACACAATAACGAACAGCAATATCCATCACATGATTATCACAGATTTTTTGCTTATTTTGAAGACATTTCTTAAATGTTAACACTGAATTTTCTTTAGGCTTTGATAGCTTCAGTCATTTCAACTAACTGGGTAGCCACCTGTAGTTGTTTGTTTAGCCCACGTTTTTTTACACCTGGGGCTGCCAGATAAAATAAAAATCCACCTACATTACCGGTTACCATAAAAAAACATTGTCATTCAGAACAATGTTGTTTACTTGTAAACTATATTCCCTGCCTGTCAGTTCTGAAAGCTCTCTGAAGAGGGAGTGTGATCGTGTCTGTGTGATCAGTCCAAGTCCTGCTCAGACGTAGCAGACGTACAGGTAGGTCTTCTCTATCCTCCAGTCGGGGGGCACGTCTTCGGGGTTGTGGCCCTTTATGTGCTTCTGCATGGCGGCCAGGCTGGGGCAGAAGTCCTGGCAGATGGTGCACTGATATGGAGACGCTCCATTGTGAGTGCGCAGGTGCTTGATCATCGCTGAATAGTCTCTTGAGCGTTGATGACACAACTTACACTCAAATGGCTTCTCCCCTGAAAAAAACAAAAACAATTCATTTACGTCTGAATTATACCCACACTCCACTAGTTCAAAGCATACAAATAACAATTACAAAAACACCTCAAGATGGAATGCTTAACTTTTTTGGTTTCATAAATATATTTTGTTTGTCCCAAAAGAAAGAGTTGTATGTAAACATACTAACATACTGAGAGCTGATTTGATACTATGGTTGTTAGAGGCAACACAAAACTACCAAAACAATTTTGAGAGCACTGAACAAATTTTTGTTTTGTTTCTTCCGTTCTAAAGTTAGGTACTCCAGTTTTAATTCATTCCTGTGAGGCAGGGAGTGTGTTTTAACCTGTGTGCACGCGGTAGTGCGTCTCCAGCTGGTGCTTCAGGCTGAACCTCTTGCCGCAGCCGTTGCACTCGTAAGGCTTCTCTCCTGTGTGGATGCGCTTGTGGCCCCTCAGTGTGCCGTCATCTCTGAAGCAGCTCCCACAGAACTCGCACTCAAACGGGTGGTCGCCTAAAACACATCATACTCAGCTTCATACACAGATGTACTGGTCATCTAATCACTGTCAGTCCTCCATGGAGCCCTCCTCCTGGCTGTTAGTTGATAGCAAACACAAGTCCTCAAGGCATGGTGTGTTCAGTTCTATACTGTAGTTAATCTATTTCTCTCCTAGGCTGAGAGTTTGACTCATCTCCAATGACCTATGTGCCTCATTATCTCAGTGTCCACAGCAACAGCCAAGTCAGAGGATACATTGCTCTCCTCATTACAGGCCGATTCTCCCCAATCCCCCACCCCACTGTGGAGCAGATGACATTTACAAAATGTTACTTTCAAGCAGAAAGGCATACAAACAAGATACGCTGCCATGGCCAAAACTCCCTTCACTTCTGTCTCTTCACATCAATTATGTATTTCTCCTGTCTAGACATCAAGTCGTCCTGACAGCTGTGAGTGTTATTTAAGGTAAAAGAAGAAAGGGGGACATCTTGGCAGTAAATATCTCTCCGTCTCCTGCGGCACTAAGACTCACCCTCGGTAGAACACACAGACAAGTCATTTCCATTTGGTTTTCCTTCAATATTTATTTGGGTTTCCTCTATCATTTTGGGTGAACCACAGTAGAACTGACAGCCGTGAATTGCAGAAGCCCAAAGGCTGTCTAAGAACCCAAAATATAAACAGGATGAAATTGCCCAAAATACGCACCGGCCATAACGGTACAGTGCTGTCATCCGAAAGGTGAGTCATCATCGTATAGAGGCAAAATCAGGGTTGAGTACAAACCAGCTCACGTGTAAAGCTACAAATCTAAGGATACATTTTTATGTGTCTAAAAAGATGTCTTTGTCTGTGATGTCTGTGTTTATAAATCTATTACAACAGAGCTCTTACCTGTGTGCGAACGCAAGTGTCTTTTGAGAGTGGTGTGGCTGGGAAAAGGGCGCTCGCAGTGGCTACAGATATAGCTGTGCATGCCAGTGTGGACCTCCATGTGCTGCTGCAGGGCCTTCTGTGTCTGGAAGCGCTTTGCACACAGCAGACAGAACACCGCCATGTCAGTCCCTGGAGAACGCACAAGACACAGTTATTTCAGTACAGGGCCTTAAGTGGGGAAACTGGGTCACTTCAACTTTGTGTGAGTCCTCTGAGGGAAAATCTTCTTTCAAAGAGCAAGTGCCTTCACCTAAACTAACTCTCCTGAAAGCCCAGAGGCACTTTCAACTCTTTATATGTGCTATTTTAAACCATCAAACACATTGTTTTCTTTAAGAATTTCCCACACAATACACAGCATGTCAATCACAGAGTCAATGGAGCCTTCCTGATGTGTTAGATGTGTAATTATTCTCTTCATTCTCCATCACGAGCCGGCCTCAGCCTATGAAGTCCTCTGCCTGTGTGCTCAAAGAACAGCAGATAGTGACTCCACCCTAAATGATGTGTCTCTGCTGAATGTTAAGCAGTGATATCAAGCCATTAAAGGCAGGACTGCAGGAAAAAACACAATCCAGTTTAATCCTGTGTGTGACCTGGCATCTCTTTGGGGCTGCTTTCCTGTTGCACTGAGTGTGGAGAGGAATACAGATAGGCAGACGCTGGCACGCTACTTCAAGTCAGAATGGCTATGTGAAGATCCATTGGCTGTCATGCTCTCGATGCTTGAAATACAAGCTGTGTATGACAGCAGCCAGATTCATCCTGGCAATCACATAAATGCATATTAGAGGAGTCAGACTTAACAAGTGGTTAACTAGTCGCGTTCATGTCAGTGAGACTAAAGCTCTAATGTCAGATTATGACCTGCTTATTTCTCTGTCTGCTCAGGTTGCAGATCATTTACAATGCTAGCAGCTCCCATTGGTCCTGACTCAGATTCAATCAGACATCTCCAGCGGAGGATCATTAGTAAACAGAAGACTGTGCCAGCACTTCATTGGAATTCAAGTGGGGTTGCTGTGTCGCATTTAAAATGCAGTCTGATGAGGTCCACTAAATCAAATCATTTGTTACTGTTATTGAAGTGCCTTGAGGCAACTGGCAATTAAATTGGAATTAACGCTGGGAAAAGGATACAGCACACTCATACTAAGAGGGAAGAGTGTCAGACACTTGCTTGAGGTTCAGTCAAGTTAACAGACAGGCCTTTTTAAAGAAGAAAGAAACATAAGATCACATAAATTCAAATCATCTATTGTGTAAAACGGCATTGCATCAAACACATTACTTTGTGTGCATTACTTTCACAAAGGTCTGCAAGTAAGTAGACTTAAATCCATATCTGCATTTTTGTGCTTTCCAAACTGTTCTATAATTTAGTCAAATTTAAGCATGGTACAGAACTAAACAATTGATCATCAGTAATCATTAACAGAAAAAGGACAGGATGAAAGACATTCCCTGATCTTAACAATCCTGCGGGGAGGCGATCCGCTGGACTGAACTGCACCTGTTCAGGGGCTTTAGCCTGTGGACTTTTGCACAAAGGGCACACAATGAGGTTCAGGCCCTCATTGACCGAGCCCATTAGTCATAGGTTCCTTGTGCAGCTTCTACAATCCCTGTCTTTATGTTGTTGCCTAATGACCGCGGCTTTCTCTCACCCACGGATCACAATATTTTAGTGGAAGACAAAAGCCCACCCCCCACCTTTCTCACAGCCTCTGCTCCCACTCCCACCTCTAGCTGCTGACCATATAGGAAATCTGTTCATTTGTGAAACAGCATTTGCCTTAGTCATGCTTAAGTCACACCGCAGAGTCATCATGGGTCTAAAAATAGCACGCATTTAGCATACATCTTAACTCTACAGGTTTTGTTCTGCTCCACAGGCTTTGAAGAGAAGTTTAGCAGCTCCAACAAAATTGCATTATATTTGAAGGCCAGTAGGGGGAGTGCTTCCGCTGCAACAGGCCCTGTGAGGACAAACCAAAGACAGACTAAATTGCTTCTTTGCTTCAGATACTTATTTCATTCATTTGGAGGATTACATTATGAGCCATTTATTTATTTATAGAGTGCATAATACATGTGATTTTCTTTCAATCCCTCCACCGCTTTAAACATGGAGCTGTCTATTGTAAAAGTTAACTTTACAATGGAGTGTAGGTAAAGTGTCGAGACTCCCAGACACTCCTTGATCTATATCCCGTTTTTTCTGTCACCACGAATTCTCCAGCATGAGCAGAGACACTGACAAATATTCTGTCACCAACCCTCACTCTAGATCTCATGGTGACACATGGTGACAAAGGCTCAAAAGTTGCTTTATTTTCTTGCTGCACAACCTTCAGTGAAAATAAAAATAACAACAATAAATAAAGCAGTCTCTAAACATGAAACCAGCGCAACGATGAAATGTTTATAGTGGCATGTATTTTGTCTTGCTGTTTGCGATCCTTTGAGTCAAATAGCATCCCTGGTTGTCGACTTTCCAGTAAGCTCCAGTAATAAGTGCGCTGGAGCATCTTTATGAGAGAATAAGCCCTAAAGATGGCCATCACTGCCCCCTGCTTTCTCACCCTTAACTAGACAATGGGCTGGGATTTAGGTTTAAGGCACTGGCTGACCCTTGCCCTTTGGCCCTCAATGGGGTAAATACCATGTAATCAATGGTATTCCTGAATGGCCAGAGAGTTGACTGTGCATTGTGTCTGTGGGAAACACACTGAATAGTTGGAATTTGCAAACTCTAAACAAAAATGTACATTTCTTACATTATTGGGCTGCTTGCTTAATAGGCATTTAAATTAAGTTGGGTAATTGAGGGTGATTGGAAGTTGTTATACCATCGACAGTGACACTATCTGTATACTCATGTGATTTAACATGGCCTGCTTTCATACATCTGCCACTTACTCAATCCAACTGAGGTGGGAGCCCGCCAGGCTCTCACGCTGCCTAAGAAACAAAACCATGTGTCTAGGCAACCAGATAGGATCATGATCCTTGTTGGGGTGAAGTGTTCAAGCTAATCCCTTCATTCACAAATAAGCACAGCCTGTTTCTTTTCAAGCATCACACAAAAGTTTTCCCACCCTGAGAATCTGAAAGTAAACTCACGGCAAATTGAACAAGACCACTGACAACCTCTATAATTCTAGTGTGTTAATCTACATTTTTGAAGTAAGCGTTCCAAAGTAAATACCAGTTTTGAGCTTGTTATTAAAACTTCAATGGAGGGAAATAAATGCAATAAAAAGTTTTAATGAATCCAAATTCTAACCCTAAGTAATCAAAGCATTACATTATCGCTTATCCAAAAGACCATGAGAACTATGTGAAAAAACTATAAATACAATGCGATTGCTGCAATGTTATCATCATACACCATCACAGTCACTGAAGCAGCATCTTTGTAAACCTGACCTGGCATGACCCTGTGCTTTCACGATACTGTATTCAAGCTGTTTCTCATAGACACGACACAGAAGCTCTACAGTACCTTAAATAACCCCAGGCCTTCACCAGTGCACTGCTAATCTACTCGAGTGAGGAACAACCGGCTCAATAATTAATACAACAAGAGATACGTTGCTAGTGTTTAACCACCATTCCATGGACCAGTTCATTGAGGTCACACAATACGACAACGTTTCAGCAGCTTCAGTCTTAGGAATCTTCAGGTTTTCCAACTTGGCGCTAAAAAACTGATGAGAAACTATTAACAAGGTTTGGTAAAATGATTATAATTTGCAAGTGGCACTTTATTTTTTAAACATTGTTATAAATGTTGAAGTGTTTCACATGTTGATTGCGTACACTTGTGCCTATCAAATTAATCAATACATAAAAACGTTAATCAGTAAAGCTCCATTTTAAAAGATGGGCTGTTTTTCCACGGACCTCAAGACCGTTTAACTGGAAACAAACAGAAGGTAAGATTATTCACTCGGCAATGCAACCAGTAATGTGTGGAAACAGTGCAGCTGCAGTGAGTACACAAAGCACCACTCTTTTGGCCTTTGCCTCAGAGGAAAGGTGGCAGAATTGTTAGCTAAAGCATATAGTCAATTTCAGAGGTTGCAGTAGATAAGCTTGTGCCATGAGTTCTCGCAAATTGAAAGCAAAGTGCCCCAAAGCCTTGACTTCCCCAATGAAACAAACTCCTTTGTTGTGAGAGCAGTTTGGAGACAGATCCATTCTTTTATTTTGGGCACTGACAAGTAGGTCAGAGGAGACTATGACAGGGCTGTGGTGAGAAGTAAACAGGAGCACATGATGTTTTTCTCTCAGTCCCTGGCATCCAACACCATAAGCCAATCTGCTGCCCTCAGGAAGTCTTCACAGTCCCTGCCCCCGCTAGACCCCTCCCTTTGATCTATCTGAAGCAACCAAAGGCCATTCACTTCTGACATATCAAAATGATTAGAGACTTTCACTGTAAACCAGTCCCACAGCCAGTGTTACCCAATGGCTCCACACCGAGTCTCCCTTATGGTATTACGTTTCTGCCAAAGGATCTGGAGAGGAAGTATGTAACCCGTGGGTCTGACAAGTGTTCATTTTCTTGGAGGAAGCTTCTTTGACTTGCACCACACAACCCCATTCTTTTACATAGCTCAGTTTCACATTAGTGTGATGCGCACAGACAATAAAATGTATAGAACGTGGACACAGACTTATAGACTGAGGACACCACAACAGGGGGATATTGGCTGGATCCACAGCTATGGATCCAATGCCAAGCTGAAACTGAGCTGGGGATGTTTACAACCTCGGGAGATGAGGGTAGAAACTTCTGGGCATCGTTAACACCCCTCCATGTCCACATGCATTAACTATTCATTCTGTGTGTGCCACCCAGAGTTACAGTTACATGCCAATGCGCCTGAGAGGGTGATCGCCTTTCTCTGACAGTAGCAAAAAAGGTGTAGGTCCTGCCAGCTTGAAAACTGTATCCTATTATTACAGACAAAGTTAAATGTGTTTTTAAACCCAGGAGAGGTCCATTAGCGATGCTGTCTGGGCTGCTATTTGTAACTGTGTTTGTGGTTGATGATTAATAAGAGAAGATTAACACTGTTATCTTGTTTAAAAAATGACATTTAAAAGATGTTTGTTAATAGGACTTTGTAGGGGTGTACTGTATGTTCCTTTGAAACTGTGACGTTGGTGTTGTAGCAAAGTGGCATTCAGTGGCTCTGGATGCCGAGAGATATTAGTGGGTGACATGTGAGAGGGCCTCCCACCTCTGTGTTGATAAATTATGGAGCATCATAACAGGAACAGTTTAACCCCGCCAGCATGACAAACACGTTCAGAGCCATAATCACATTCAGAGCAACTGCTCTTTACATGACATGGCTCTGTCCAGGTTAGGCACAGATAATGAAATACCTGTGTGGGTTTGTCTGTGGGCTTCCAGGGCATCTTCAGAGGAGAATGTGGCCGCACACTGATCACAAACTAGCGCTTCAGCAGGAGCTGTGGGGAAGTGAGAAAGGTGTAAGACAGCACAGATATTGGAGTCATTTAGTATTAAAGTCAGAATAAACAAATCCTCTTTTAGACATGAACAAAAGTGGTTTGCAAACTTTCAAGCTTTAATACAAGGAAGTAACTGTGCAGTCATCACTGGAGTGCCATAAACATGAAACCTGAGCAAACAAAAGCAGCAGACAAATGACACCAGCCCTGATCCTTTGAGAAAAAGAACATTGAACAGTTATTTACAGAGGCCCGTTATCAAGCCCACTGCAGCCGTCAGGCCAGTGAGGGCTGAGAGCGGTTGCTCCAAGGCCAGGGAAGAACCTCCTGTTCTGTCTGTGGTTCTGTCTGCAGACTTCGCCTGCAGCATACTCTTTATCACAGATACTGAGAGTCAACAGCTCAAATCCCACTGCAGCCAGCGGACCGGCACCTCGTGGCTCACCTCTGGAATGCCCTTGTCTATTCTGATGAAGACAGTGTGCTCCTCACACCTGAACACACACACAGCTGTGGGATGTGGGCTGGCTCTCACAGAGATGTAAATCGGTTGCAGATCCATACTGGCCCAGGGCTCATTCACTGATCTATTTTCTGCTCAGCTGGCTTTAAATGAAGTTAAAATGACTCATTAAAACACCCACAAGCTTTGGGAACTCTGAGCACTACAGCCTAAATGTGGTCCTCTTTCAACTCTAGCGCTGTACACAGACAGTGTGCCACTGTTCCCTGTGCTGCACAAATAATAAAAAGCCCCAATCTGTTCATTTTTAAAAACAACCATTTCTGAAAACAAACAGTTACTGTTTGGAGGCCTGTGTTTTGTTACACAGTCAAATATAAAACTTGGTGGCAAATGGTTTGATATATTAATAAAAATACAAGTGTGTAGATGCTGATGTTGTGTGGCGCTGTCCAGTGTGGTATGTTGTGCTGTGTGTGATTCTGTGATAAGGAAAGAAGAGAACATAGTGCATTGTCTTGTGCAGTCAAAGGCACGGAGTGTGCTCTCATCCATAAACCATCAAACTGTCTCCAGACGCGGCTGCAATCGTCCTCCATCAAAACACTTTGTCTGGCATACCAAAATAAGAGCCAGCATCGAGCTGAATACCAAATCAGCCCATTAGAGCGGTGGAGCACTCGCTCCTTAGCAACCAGCGGGATCTAAGGCTGCTATACCAAAATACACAGTGACAAAGAAATGAGATACACATCTTTCTTTGTAGTATTAAGGGGTGACATATCAGGATTGTGACTTTATGCAAAAAATCAAAGAAGGTTAAAGATGCTGCTGTTACATGTCAGAGGCGATTGAAGCATTGAGCGTGATGTTGAGGTGTGAGAGGAAAGGCTAGAAGTGTGGTTAGGGTTACGGAGGATACTGAAGTAGGGCCGACTCAGGTGAAGCGCTTTAAGCTGAGTTTAAAGAAACAGGCTCTCTTTTATCTGTCCGCAGACATGTCATTTCCAAACACTGTCACCGAAGCAGACAGGACAGGGACCTGGCCTTGTCTGTACATATTGCTACTGTGGATTCATCTTCTGTTATAGTTTCATTTTTAGGCCCCCCTCACCCCCTTTGCTCCTCTCCTTTCTTTATTTTGGATAAAGTAGCTGGGAGAGCAGTCAGGTCTGATTAAGTCTGCATTTGGGTACAGTGTGTTCCTGGACACACATCTGCGAGCGAGCCATCACACACGCTTCGGAACACTGGCAGAACACCCAGGCCTGCCGGCAGCTCATGATGTCATCACTCAGAAGGGGCCGGGCTGGCCCACCGCCAAAGTCTCCAAAAAAACAAAAAAACTGGAATGATTCAAGCAAGAGGCTGCAACGAAAGGCAGGAGGGAGGTGCACAGGCCTAAGCATGAACAGAAAGCATGATCCAAGTATTCGGAGCAGCACTAACTGGGAGCGGGAGGGGAGGGGCCACTGGTATGGAACAGGTGCATGTGAAAGGCAGCACTATTGAGACTTAATAAGCGGGGGATTGTGTGAGAAGTGTGTACCTGTATGAGACAGCATGTGCATCCTGAGCCGCATGCTGTCCTGAAAGTGTTTACCACAGAACTCGCAGCCGTGGCCCTTCTCCTCAGAGTGCAGCCTCCTGTGGACAGACACAACACCAACGTGAAAGTGTTATCAGAAACACACCCAGAATGATAAAAAGTCTGCGTGCTCTTCATCTGTCAGGTTAGAATCCTGAGGCATCTTTGTCCTCGTAACAAGAGGTGCATGTTTTAATGCAGGCTAGAATCCCTCACTGAATGCTGCATCATTAGTATAAGAGGCCTTTGGAGTTGTGAATCACAAGGCATGAATGATAAAAGAACACAGACAATAGGATATCTGGCTAATTTCAGAGTGCCGACAAACGCGTGCCTCCACCCGCCAGCGTTGTAAGACAGCACACACACATCACACACAATGCATGCAAAATTACATCTGAGCTAAACACGCATATACGCTTCCCTTGTAACTGCAGTGAAAAGAAGATGATTCGCTGGAGCTCTGCCGGCAAAACCTATCATATCATATCACACACATCCAAGCACGCATGGCATCTGCACTGTTATCCTTAGATCACCCCACTAAGAGACAAATGACCTAAAAACAGACGTGTTCAAAATAACTGAGTATATGGGGCTTTTATAGCACACATGACACTACATTAGCACAACATCAGTGGGAAAACAACCCTTTGCTTAATTTCTGGTTAACATAAATCAGTTAATAGGGATCACACATTGTCTGATATTAGTTCTTGTGATATTTGGCTTTGAATTTGTATCAGTCTTTTTAAAGCTGAGGTACCTTACTTTCATGCAAAAATGTGTACTTATACAACCAATGTAACTCGTTTTTTTGCTCTCAAAACTACTATTTCCAGTTTTTTTCACATGCATATCTGTTTGACACAGTTTAGCTCAGCTTTTTTCAGACAAAAAAAACCCCAAAGCATATAATAGTGATCTGATTGGTTCACGAACTGCCACCTTTTACAAGACACTTAATAAATTATGTGTATGAGACACAAAGTCAGGCACCCCAGCTTTAATTTGCTCCTCCTTGGCCGCCGCATTCCTATTCCAAGAGTAATGGCGTGTCCTCAAACTACTCTCAAATGTCAGCACGCAGACCAGGTGAATGCTCAGTGACCTGGTTCCACGCACCGGCTCCCTGACATCCCCGAGCAGAGCCTCCTTTTGGACCTGAGGACATGGGGCGCGTGTGACTGAGCAAGAGGCACACGCCGCTGTAAATACCTCACAGGACGTTGGGAGGCTGAGCACTTGAGCCACAGCTCCAGAGAGGGCTCGTGTCACTCAGACCCTACAGGGGGCACTACAGGCTGCAGCACGGCACTAATGATGGCTCTGCTTCACATCCAGACCCACCACTCAAAGGCTGTTTTGTTTGTAATGATTAGCGATGAGTAAAACGCTGCCAAACCATTGCAATTATTACCATCTAAAATCAAGATAATTAGAGCTGTCATTGAGGCTAGTCTGTGTGCTTGGCTAAGTTTTTTGTGTACAATGACAAAATCTCATCTGTCAGGGCCATAAATAAAAGAGAAATAAACAAAACAACACAGCGGGTTTGGAGGCAGAAGTTATCCATCATCAAGCTGGAGCGTCCAGCCGGTCCCTGCTGAGCGCCTTCTCTCGGCTGATGCAAAGGAATGCATATCAAATAGTCTGGGAGAAAGCCTGTTGTGTGAGGCACGCTTCAGCACAAATAATCAAACCCAATTTAAAAGTACGCCCCATAACAGCATTACGTGACACTAATGTTATTTATGTCAAATCTCTCACAAAGACACAATTCTTTAGGTGTATTGTCAGTATAAATATGTTTGCAGGTTTTCCAGAGATTATTTGTATTTAATAATGACCCTTTTATTATCTTATTACATGCAAATATCATATTTGGGTATAATTACATCTACAAATAATAAGCCTGGATAAATAAAGATAAATAAAAAAGTGATAGAACACACTGTGTTGTTTGGGCATAACATGCACATTGTTAATGTTTTAATAAATGTTGTGTTTTAAATGTTCCCGGATATAAAATGTGAGTTAAAGTTAAAGTCAAACTCACTAGTGTGTGCATGAATGAGTGTGTCACATTAGTTTGGTGATGGACGACAGCCCCTCCTCAGGGTCAGAGTGAGTTACCTGTGCTGCTCCATGGCCTGACGACTGTGCAGCTGAAGTCCACACTCTCCGCAGCACTGGCCTTGGCTCTGCCCCTCCTGCCTCATGCCTGCTGCAAACTGGCCCAGTCGATTCAGGAGTTCTCGGTGGAGCAGACCTTGGTGCAACAGGCCACCGTAGGCCCTTGGGTCCAGTGAGACACCCAAAGGTGGGGCTAATGACATTGGCATCATCCCGTCCCCTGTGTGGTTGGCACTCATGGAATAAATAGAGCTCGTAAGTTTGTCTCCGATCCCAGGGAAAGAGTCCAGAGCGTTGCCCACTGCCCCTCCATGCTCAGGGCTGGAGTGCAGCTCTCGGGCACTGGTGATGACGCTGCCCCTCAGAGGCGTCCCGGGCCCATCCTCCTGAGGCTGGTCAGACACACAGCTGCCCTGGTCTGGGCTGGAGGGCCGGCCGTGGCCCTCAGACTCGTCCACCTGCATGCTCTCACACTTGATGCTGTCGGGGTCCAGAGAGGTGACCTGGGACAGCTCTGAGGGGGAGTTGTGGCTACTCTTGAGAGCTCTCTCTTGAAGCAGTTTGGGGCTGAGTGGTGTGTTATTCTGCTCCATGTTAGTGGGGCTTCTGTCGCTCATGTGGTATAGTGCCAGCTGGTGCAAGACAGAGGAGTTGGTGCGCGCAGGCCCATCTTGTATGGAATTCTTTTTTGATATTAGCATTTGTCGCCAGTGGCGGGCACGTGGCTCACTATGGTCTGTTGGACTGTGATTTTTCAGTGCAACATCATGGCTCTCCTCGTGCTGGATGGTTTCAAGCACCTTGAGGCACTGCTCTTCTAGATACTCTATCTCCAGTATCTCTGCCGCGTACAGAAGGTCATCCAGGTCTTCGGCGGTGGCCTGCAGAGAGGCTGTGTATGCATACTCCAGGATCTGCTGGAAGGTCTTGGGGGACAGGAAGTCCAGAGCGTACCGCAGGCTGCTGCGATGGAACAGGATCTCAAACATCTTGCTGGTGCAGGCCAGGACCGTGCGGTGCGCTGGGAACTCCTGACCATCCACTGTGATGATGACATCACACAGGGTACCTGTGAGACGCATCTGGTTGGCCCGGTGCAGCAAAGTGCAGGAGTGAGAGGGATTATGGAGCTGGAGAACACCCATGTTTGTCAGAGCCCTGGCTTGAGCCACGCATCAGGTGCTGTCCTCCTGGTTCTGTTGGCCTCAGCTGTCTGTGGTCTGTGGCTTGTGCAGGATCACTGGATCATTAGCACCTGTCTCAGTTACATTGTGACACAAACACATTTAATTACACACAGCTCAGCACATCAAAAGAAAAAAAAATATGCATTTGTAAGTTCCCACTAAAATAGCAGTTAACTAAGTTTTACTCCATGACTTTTATGTGTCGGCCTGTGTGTGTGAACTAAAGAGCGGACAGACAGGGCTGGTCGATGCGCGCAGAGCAACAGTTTCCACTGGAGGTGATTTCGTTGCGCGCGGTCACGTCGCTGTAATAACGTCTGCATACTGAGAGGTGACGCTTCCATTTATCAAGCGCCTCACACACGTCTGCACTCAACAGGTAGGCCCGCTATTACCAGCGCCCCCGAGGCTCATTAGTTCATTTAGGCTGTGCGTCTTCGTGATTAGACGCGTTAAAGACAATTAAATCGCTCTGCTAAAAATCCCTAAATAAGTTATCAAAGTATTTAATTGATGAGCGTGTGGTAATGGATGGGGGTAGTGTCGCGGAGACGAGTCTGTCAGGGGGATTTATGTGTAATTATAAACGCTGTAGAGTGTACAAAACGGCTTTATATATGTCTATTAGTCTCGTGGCAGCCGACTGCGGCTGAACTCCAGTCTCCCATCTGTGCGCATCAGGTGGAATAAGATGAAATAAGATGAAATAAAAGCCACGAAAATCCAAACACTTCAAATTAACCTTCACGACACGCGCAGGCAGCCCCTTGTCTGCTCGGGCAATGACAAACCGCCTGTTGTCTGCAAAGAGACATTTCCCAAAAAAATACGTGCATTCCTCTCTAATTTTGGGCAATTAGTTTCAAATGACTCCTGACAATTACATGTTCCGTTAATATGTTTCCAACCCTCCAATCTGCTCAAAACTCTAGGCGAATTCATTTGTAAATCAACAGACACGCACTGAAAAGTCATTCTAGTTCACGCACCGGAATGACCCGAGTTAAAATTTTAGTTCCCTACATGAGCGGTGTCCTAAGATCCTGGTGTGAATAAAAGTGCGCTGCGGTGACAGTTGTTCCTACCTCCACTCTTCTCGTCCTCCGCTGATTATCCAGGCAACATCATGCTTACACATTTCACAGTACGCGCTCCAAACTCACTCCTGCTCCAAGTAAGCAAATCATGAGCCAGCCGCCACTGTCAAGCGCCGAGCGGAGCAGGCGCCACATCCGCCCGGGCGCGTCACAATAAGACACCCTCTGTCCTCCTCACGCAGACAGTAGTGGTAGTAGTAGTAGTGGTAATTATAGAAGTAGTGGTAGCAGTTGTAGCAGTGGTAGTTGTAGTAGTAATAGTTGTAGTAGTAGTAACAGTAGTAATTGTTGTAGTAGTAGTAGTAGTAGTAGTAGTAGTAGTAGTAGTATAAGTAGTGGTAATAATAGAAGTAGTGGTAGTAGTGGTGGTAGTAGTAGTAATAGTAAAAGTTGTTGTTGTAGTATTAGTAGTAGTTGTAGTAGTAGTAGTAGTATAAGTAGTGGTAATAATAGTAGTGGTGGTAGCAGTAATAATAGTAATAGTTGTAATAGTAGTTGTAGTAGTAGTGCCAGTAGTAATAGTTGTAGTAGTAGTAGTAGCAGTAGTAGTAGTAGAAGTAGTAGTAGCAGTAGTAGTAGTAGTAGTAGTAGTAGCATTAGTATAGTAGTCGAAGTAGGGGTAGTGGTAGTAGTAGTTGTTGTTGTTTTAGCAGTTGTAGCAGTAGTAATAATAGCAGAAGTGAAGTAGTTGTAGTAGTAGTAGTAGTAAGTAGTAATAGTAGAAGTAGAAATAATAGAAGTAGTAGTATTAGTTGTAGTAATAGTAGTAGTAATAATCGTATAGTTGTAGTGGTAGTACTACTAGATAGATAAATATTTATCGATCCCCGTAGGAGAACTTCAAGAGTATAGTTGTAGTAGCTGGTACTGTGACTAATGATAGTAGTAGTAGTAGTAGTTGTAGTAGTAGTAGTAGTAGTTGTTGTAGTAACGACTGAGGGATTTTATCTTTGCTCTTTTTAACGTTCTGTGATCATTTAAGATTGAATGCTGTGTCTGACTGTCTCCGTCTGGTTTTGTTCAGCACTTGTGTATGAATTGTGATATACATATAAACTTGCCGTGCCATTAGATCTTTGGTGACATGTTTTACAATCTTCTACGTTTTGAAATAAGAAAAAATACGTGTATATCAAGAATGTTTGTGCTAAATAATACTATTAATACTATTATTTATGTACTGTATTTATTTGCATACTTTCTGCGATTTACTGAAGTGCAAAATATAATATGTATTTTTGTGTTATTGTGTTATTTGTTTTCTTTGTAGTAAGTTTGCGATCATCAGTACTGTTGGCATCCCTAACTTAAACAGGGGTCTCCAACCTTTTCGATTGGAGAGCTACTTTTATAAAACAGATATGGCCGAGAGCTACTCCTTTTTTCAGCCGTTATACAATGGTAGTATTTATAATAACTACAGAACATCATAGAGAACACACATACATGCGTACAATAAGAAAACAGTATCCATGCATTCATGAAAATATTCAGTTAAAACATAAATATAATAACTCAAAAGTGAATCAGAATCATGTGTTAAATTCTTGAATCGTTTGGGGAGCTATACCTGAAAGGCGGTGGCGAGCTACTGGCAGCCTTTCGAGCCACAGGTTGGAGACCCCTGATGAAAATATTTAGGTCACATTTTGTTACTTGCTTTTGTGGAGATCTGACTCAAACAAGACTGCTGTGCTATTGTTTTGCTATTGCTATTTTTTATCCTGATATGAAAAGTTGGATTGTTTTGAGTTTGGGGGTGGGGGTGGGGGTGCACGGAAGCTTTTTGCACTCTGTTTAAGTCGAATTTAATACTGTTCAAACAAACAAACAATAAAATGTGTTTAGAATTTAAATATTTATAGCATATTATAACAACATTCACGGACTATGTTCTACTCCATCTGCATTTATTCCTGTTTCCCCACGAGGCTGGTTCTGGACCGGGTTGGTCTGTTTTTCACTGGAACCAGGCTGTGTAGGCCTCAAATAATGGTTTAATCTATTTCAGTTGCAAACTTTATTTTTGCCTATACTCAATAACATACTTAATTAATATTTGTTATATGTTTTTGCATCTTTTGAGCATCACACATTTCACACAGCGTCACTTCATTGCAAAAGTGATACAATTACAAAAACATAAGGAGTAGAAGGAAGTTTAAAAACCTGTTTTATCTTACCCCAACTTTTAACCAAGTCTAAAAAATGAATGTTTTTTTGTTTTTATGTTTATGTTTAGTATTTCCACAAAGCTGGTTCCTGTTCATGTCTGAGCCAGTTTTCAGCTCTGGGGGCGAGCATTTAGAGGAAAACAGAATAAATGGTTTGGAGTACCTTTTTTGCAAATGTATTCCAATGTAGTTTTTATACTGCACATGGCTAATAAAAATGAATCTGAATCTGAATCTGGAAATTGTACACAAAGTGGTCCATATAAAAAAAGATATCAAAAACACACACAATTACTATGGCCACAGCTGCCCTGAGACAGACTGATCAAGAATGTTGAAGTATGAAATAAATTCAGTCACTTTTCCCTTTTTTCAGAAAACAGACTTATCTATATTTATATTTCTTATGTAAAAGTATTTATTTATCATGTGGGGTCTTTGGGGGCTGATGAGTGACTGGTAAGAGAATTTTTTTCAATATAGTTTATTTCTATAGGAATTGTCCAAAGCAACCTACTAAAAAAAGTCTAAATAATTACTCGTTGGGCAAATAGACTTTATCATCAGTTCAAGATGAGAGCCAAAAGGACCAGACAACTCTGCAATTTTTTCTCTTTTCTCCCATTTAACTTTAAACACTGGGAGTACCCATGGAAAGTAAAACGTGCTCAATTACAAGTTTCTTTAAAATTGTTGTTGATTATTCATACGTTTTTTGGTGTGTAAATAAAATACACTGATTGGGAGCTACATAGCTGTGCGGATTTTTTTCACTGTTTTTACGATTATTCATAAGTGCCCAAAAAACTCCCATCACAATGCAACCTAACACACTGCAAGTATATTTATTGCAAAGTGTATTTGATGATATAGATAGTGAAACATTAAGCCTGTTGGGTGTATAGTTGTCTAACCCCAATGACACACATCTTGAATGGATGGAAATGAAACCTTCCCAACAAACATTTCTTATGAGTTTTATTAGTGAGCTCCATGTTGTTCCAGAACACCTTACAGAAGATGTATGGAGGGGACAAAAACGCAAAACGCTCTTTTAGCCTGGACTAGGGGTCAGTGCGTAACAAGACACACAGGTCACAGCTCTTATAGTGAAAGCGCTCTTCCGTCAAGACGCGCGGAGTGACGGGGCTTTGGCACTGTCTTGGCCGGCTGCACATCACCTCTGTCCGCGGTGAGTGATGGCCTCTGCTCCTCTGCATCACGCACATGTGCAGAGGTTACACTCGCCATCCAAAAGGCCACACCGAGCTGGCGGAGCACACTGGTGTTTAGATCCAGTGAAAGTGAAGTGAGGTAAAGACAGCTGTGTGAAAGTGAAGCAGGACGCGTCAGGTCAGCGCGCTCCTCCGTCACGGACACACGGAGGCGTCATGTCACATTAGCTGAAGGCATCTGTCTCTGCTCAAAATACCAACTCTCTCCTTACTCAATATTGTGACATCCAAGCCGGGAAGAGTTAACTCCGCTCACACCAAAACATGTATTATATAAGCACTTGTTTGCCCGCGGTGCGATCGGAACAAGTGTCCGGAAGAATGTCGCGCCTAAAATAACCTGATTGGAGCGTAACCTTTCTGATAATAGTCCAGCGCGTCCATGACATGGCGAAAACAAGACGCGCCATTCTGAGGGCGGCGGCTGCCATCTGCTGGATCAAACACGGCATCATTTATTTTATATCCACGTCTGGAGGAAAAAGAACAAATGCGCCAGACGCTGTCAGTTATTAATGTTTTATTTAGAAGATGGTTTGCACTCAGACTGTACAGAAAAGAGAACAAATAAAATCAAAAAACGTTGAAGATGAAACAAGGAGGAAAGTGTTGTAGGAAATATAAACATTTGTTCGCTCAGCCACAAGGCCCAAACCAAAGGTGTTTGTAGGAGGCAGTGAAAAGACATTTTATGTTAGAGGTGACGTTCTACTGACATGACACAGAATACATTTGGGATTTTAAACTAAAGAAAAACAAAAAAACAATTAAACATTTGAGGTTTTAAACCGATTTTTGAGACAATATTTCTCTATGGAATGAGTCTGCCCAAATATGGGCAAATATTTTAAGCACTGTTTTTATAAAAGATTGAAATCATGCCACAGAACACCTTCTTCCACTACAGCTGCAAATTGTAGTGTTGTGACAGACATATACACCACACTTATTGTCCATGTTAGTAAATTTATTACACTTTAGCTCTATTCATTCAGAATAGACTAAATCTGTCACAACAACGCTATGCAGAATATTATAAAAACGGAGGACTAGACAGTTTATTGACACACAGGCGCTGTGCACAAGTTTGCAGGCAGGAATGGAAAAAAAATACAGTTTTCAACCAAAAATAAAGGCCCAACTTTTGATTTACTCAAGTGACAGAATAGTGATAGAACTTCTGTCACAAGGATTGACCAAATAAGGGAGATGTTCATTTCACAATTAGCTCAACTGTTTGTTAGGGTCGTTCAATGTTGTATTCATTTGTATCAATATTTACATGTTCTTTATGTATTTACACAACTTTACTTTGGTGTCTGAAACACTGAAGTCTGTTCTTAATGAATGATGTTGTACATTCTAATTCTTAATATACGATGTAGAAATAGGCCTAAATTTGCACCTCATGAATATGTTTACTTCTTTTGTTGGTCAAACCTACAACATTCCCACAGTAAACCAAATGGACCCTCACAGGTCAGACATGCAGAACAAGCTCCAATAACACCAACCACAAATCTAAACAAAAATGCAACAATGTACATCTGGACAAGAAAACATGAACATAAGAAAAATAATTTCTATTTATATATATATATATATATATATATATTATAGTATAGTTCTTTTTACATATTTATTTTATAATTCAATGGTTGCGCACAACAACATTTCAAACCACATAAAAAAGAACAGTTATTAGTGTATTTATTATTTGCCAGGCAGATATTATAAGATATCAGGATAGATATTTATCCTAGATATTTATCCTGTGCGTGTAAAGAAAATAATATAAAAATAAAATACATTTCTTGAGATCTGAACTTCCAGGGTGTAGAAAACATCTGTTGTGACCGATAAAGAGCACTCGATGGTGCACTAAAAGTATTGTGATTCTGTAAAATGAAGTTAAGGGCACTGGAAATCAAAACTCCACCGTTTTGAAATGTTCGTGTTTATAAGTGGTTATATCCCATCATGCTTTGCTCTCAGTTTGTATGATACTGTTGTGTCCTGTGATCACTGCCAGGGCGTTGGTCAACTGAGCCTCCTCCAGTTTGTCGGCTTCATCTGAGAAAAAATGCCTGCACGGGTGAAAGGGAAGCACATGTAATCATTATGAGGACACATGTACAGTTTCACACTACTACCACTGGATACTTTAGCCATGTATTCATATGACATTTTCACCCAACATGTAAAAAGATGTCTTTTATACTTAGAAGACATCTTATTACATATTTCTTCACCACCTTGACAGTAAGGAAAATCAGAATGAGAGCCTCATTGGAGAAAAAAGGGGATTTTTTTATGACGCTAAAAATTGATCGATGGTAATAGTATAAGTATGATTAAACATACTGGTCAAGATACACATTTAGTAATATGTCAAAATACTTTTCATTTTGTAATGTTTAAAGGGACAGTATTTAATATGCTCGTGGTCTAAAAAAGTTATTTCAAATACAATCCAACTTTTCCAATAATATCCTGCACATACTACTGATCCACTGGCTGTGTATTATGACGACTTATTATGACTAGTATATACTTTATAAACAATGCTTGTAAATAATTTTATATATATATATATATATATATATATAAAATTATTTACAAGCATATATTATATATAAATTATATATAAATATAAGTATTGTTGATTAAGTATATACTTTATAAACAATACTTTTAAATATAGAAAACAGAGTCAAAACCAGCTAAAATGTATCTAGCCCAAACGAGAGATTCAGCCTGCTCTCTGATGGGGATAATCTGCTTGAAAATCATAAACATGTAAATTGTCTTTATTTTCAGTAAAATAAGATTTGACCTATTATCTGAGGACACATACATGATGTAGATTTAATTTAGAGTGGTAATAAAATAAATACTGTCCCTTTAACTGTGTGTTTTATGTTCTGTAAATGAATAAATATTTTTTTACAAAAATAATGTTTTGCACAATAATGTTTACACTATATGTTTACTCTATAAGTGGAAGCAACGTCATAAATATATTTTGAAAATGTAAATTGTTTTAAATGACTGTATCATTGTGTGATCATACAGCAAAAGTAAACCTTAACAAAAATAAGAAAATGTAGCAGTGATAAAAAATGCAGAAACAAAACATGGCTTATATTTAGAATATTTAGAAAGAAAGACATTTTGTATTTGGTGTTTGTTTATAATAATAACCTTGATTTTTTACTTTTATTATCTATTTTTAGCTAACCTACTCCTAAATTTAAAAGGGAAAGCTTGTTCTGAAGCATGTGATAAACCACCTCCAAATGGACAATGACACACACAAGCATAACACAGAAAAACCAAAACACAATTGTTCATTCACAGCACAACATTAATCTAATACTAATAATACTGTCATTGCCAAATTAACCAGGAGTCTAATCGTGTGTGGTCAATGGCAGGATGCGGTGGTGAATGAATGGGCATACACTCGCACACAAACGCACACACACAGATAAACCTCTAGAGGGAGCCGTACTCATCGCTGACAGGAGGAGCGGTCTTGGCCACAGTCTCTGATGATGAGGGGTCTGCTCCGTCTCCATTGGGTATAGCAGGATCAGAGGGCGGGCTCTCTAGGCTAATCAGGTCAGCGGTGGGCGACGAGGGCCTCTCTGTCCTGTCCCCCAGTTCTAGCTCTATGTCAGGACTTTCCAAGCCAGTGAGGCGCTGGGATTCAGGAGCGAGCAAATCGTACGTGTCTTGGCGCGTTGCAAAAAGGTCATTCGAGGTGTTGTGAGTCGGATGAGCATCCTCAGCCAGAGGGGCAGTGTCTTTACTATTGAGGTTGGGGTTGCCTTGAGGGTTTTTGGTTATACTGATGTTATTATATTCAGCCATTTGGTCATATGGCTTTTTGTTATAAAAGGGTGTAAAGCTACTCTCAGTCAAATCTGGGGCAGTGCTGAGATCGTTTTGCTTTGGGACAGCAGGGGCAGGACGGGAGGCAGTGTTGGCAGTGGTATCTAAGGCTACAGTGTCTTTTGGTGCAGGCTTGGGTGGACTCGGAGCTTGTTTTCTCAGTATGGGGGAGGCAGAGGGGGAGGAAGAAGCCAGAGGGGACACTGGAGGGCTATTTCTCGCCTGTTGCGCGGCCATAAGTTTGGGAGAGAACCGTCGCTTTGGCGGTATTGGCGTGACAGCTTTAGGATCTTTAGTTTGATCCGGGGTGGAAGGGGGTGTGTTGAGTTTAGACTGCTCCACCGGGATGAGATTTTCTTTCTGATCCAACACTAACGGACTCGGTTTGTCTGTCTTTCCGGGTTTCAGGGGCGGTTCTGTTTTCTCGGCGTCGTCGGAAGAGGAGTAGACGGGGGTTGGCGGGGCGGTGATGGAATCGGCGCATGGGATAGGCGCTGTGGCTGGGCCGTGAGATGGCTCGTTTGCAGGGGTGGACAGACTACAGGTGAGTGTGGTGGTCTCGCTAGAGGGGCTCTCCAGGGCGGGGTCGAGAGTTGCAGTGGCTGTGGAGGAGAGCGTGTCCAGTGCCAGAGCAGCAGTGTAAGCCGCCAGCCTGAGAGCAGGGAAGAGAACAGAGACACACAGACTAGACACCAGGGTGACTGTGACGGAGGAAGGTGGCTCGGACCAGCATGCACGGATTTAGTCACGACACGACACAAGTAGAGACAAAGCAACTGAAAAAAGCACATATTTAGCGGATTAACCAAAATAAAAAGGCTTCATGCTGTGAGTGGACCATCAAAGATACACCCCATACACACAACATGGAGTACACTGACTAGAAAACTAAAACTAGAGATTCTACTGACTACATCACTATGGTTAAACAGTACCAGTGACAATTCTTATGCACTTTTCCATAATCTACATGAACAATGGCTTTCTGTGGTTGTCAAATGATTTCATGAGTTGACCACACTGGTAATGCTGAGAATTCACTGTCTTTTACTGGTATTGCTTCAACCTTTAATCAGAACGTTCTCCGATGGTTGGAGAAAAAACATAAAGTGCGATAATCCCGTTGAATGGGAGTAAATACAAAAAGCAACACAGTTCAGTGGACTCCACTCAAGAGTGACCCGGACTTTTCACAGTGAGCATTCATGGAGGCCAAATCAGCTGGTCTGTTAAAGATAATCATTCTTTGAAGTGGAGTGCATTGTACACAGCTCAAAAGAAGAGTTAAAGGACCGCTTGCCGCAGGTCAGCCGCACTTACTCTGGCTCTGTGAGGGGCGTGGTCTCGCTGGGCTCTGTGGGGCCAGCTGCATTGTGATTGGCTGTGCATTCGTCTTCTGTTCGAACTTCCACAATCGGCTCTTTCGACTCATCTTTTCTGTGGTAGGACATGCACATATGTTAAAAACAGTAACACCGTAGAGTGTATTTTCTTATATACCCAACTTCAAAATAGATTTTCTGTGTCTGCAGAGTTACAAGATCAATGTTTGTGTCTGGATAACTGATCCTACATTTCACAAAAATTGAAGCAATCGTAGTGTAGACAAATCAATACGTGATTCTGCTACCCACACAATTTGATTTAAGTCAGCCCTTTCTGGCACTCTGCGTCTATAGTCCACCCTGCTGCCATATGCATCTGTATTGATCGATACATGGTCCAAATCGCATTTCTCTGTTACATGCCATTGCTTCTAAAATCCACCATTATTTTGATTGCATTTCACTCACATGAATGCAGCCTTGCCCTCTTCCAAGTTGTGTCCTTTGGAGCCAGTGCCCGACTTCCCACAAAGGCACATGATCAGACCACACTTGTTCACAAAGTAACATGTCACATCCACGGCCAGCAGGAGGAGTATAAATACGACAACTATGATGCCTGCCCAGAGAATAGTGTTCATATTGAGCACTGACTCCTCTCCCAGATCTGCAGGACAAATGAGAAAAGTGTTTTATTCATCAACAAACAGCCGCGATTGTCCTAACTACAGTTTATCAAATGAAATCAACCACTCACCTCTGTGCTCTGCAGTGTCTTTTAGATAATATTCAAGTACTAAGTCAATCTATGGTCTCAAGTATTCAACAGCACATTATAATAAAACATAAATAAATTATTTATTTAGTACAAGTATATAGGGTGTTGCTGGTATTTTAAGAATTAATACAGTATTCATCATCGTTTCATATTAAGGGGATTTTGCTAAAAGCATAGTACACACAATTGTACTCAGTTATTGATATTATGTGCAGACTTTTACCGTCATATCCTCAACCATGTCTGGGGTATGACTAATAATATTCACAACAAAGAAAAATGTATATAAAAAAGCAACATACTACATTTTATAAAATAATTACTAATAAATTACATGCAGAAATGAATTTACCAATGAAAACAAACTTGTAGTGCATATTTGTTATAAAGACTACATTTCTTCCACACACGTTCTCACAGGTCAATATGATAAGTGCTTTTCTCCTTCATCAGTCCACAATGTTTTTAGTCTTTCAGATGTTCTGCTCGACCTGAAGCCAAGTGAGGAGTTCTGGTGCATTTGGCTCAGAGTCATGTTAAAGCACCTTTTCTCTTTGAAAATGAAAGAGTGCCATAGTCCAGAGAGGCCTGGAGAAGGCAGACTCTCTTCAGCTCGTGTGATCAGAGCAGGAACATGGAGGAGACACACAAGATGAGTGATACCAAAGTGTATGTCACAGATGAACAGCCCTGCGTGGCTGAAAATGCACACGATGATGCAAATGTCGGTGGTCCACCACACCAATGTCCACGACCGGTCAAAAGAGCAAAACACAGAGACAGCAAAAGGAGAGGGGCAAATGAAGGGAAACAAAGAGGAAAACCAGAGAAGGGTGGGAGAACAGAGGAAGAGAGAAAGTGAAAATGTGCCTGTACGGTCTGAAACCAACCAAAGTATAAGAAGGAAAACGTATCATCATAGTAATAGGGTAGAAATGGCAACACATCAAAGAAAAGGCACAGCACAATGTTGATGGTAAGTGGGAAATGAATGCACAACCTCTGCTACTGTTAAGTAAGAACTAACATTTAATACACTGTTTAATTGTATATGGTCGCTATCTACACTAGTTAGAACTGGTTAGAGAGGTTAATAATAAATATTGAAGGAGGCGGGTATGCAGTGAGTGTGTGTTTTTTGTTATTACTGTTGAAAAAGCCAAACTACAAATCACATCATCCTTTGCAGGACGTGTCCGTTCTAGTTGAGCAAACTCAGGCTCCCTTAACAAGGCCTGTCAAAACTTGAAAGTGAGAGGATTCAATCGGAAAATCATTTTCGGTTCAGTGCTGTCCAAGAAATCTTTTTGGTAGATTTATTCAGTTGTCATTTATCTTTCACTGGCGGAGAGGTAAAAATAACCAGTGATGTTTGAGGTTGCTCTGAGTTTGCTATTTGATTAGCTGAGTGTGAGTTGGAGCATACCTGCTACTCCGGCTGGTTCTGCTGTTGTTCTGAAGGACATAGATGCTGGCTGAGACTTTCCTTTCTCATTTTCGGCCACAACAAACACATTATATTCTGTGTCCCATTCAAGTCCACTGAGGACCACAGAGTCACTGCCCCTGGGCATCCGGATCTCAGGTTTCCACTGCGTCTCCTGAACCTAGAAAAGCCAAATGTCATAAAAAGATAGTGAGTCAGTTTTGGCAACAGAGCATGTACTTAACAAACTTGGTGCAATGAAGATATTGTAATCTTCTGTTGATTTGTTAAAATACTCACAGGTTTGTAGCGGATAAGATAATGCAAGATTGCTGAGCCGCCGTCATCCTGTTTAATCCAACTCACTCTGAGAGAGTTTCCTTTGGGCTGAGGAGCCCACTCCAGCTTCGGGGGATTGGGGTTTCCTGTGGGGACAGAGCACCATCTTGTGTAAATGAACAATAATGAAAAAAGCAACTGTCCATCTCAAAGTAAATTCTTGTTTCATAAACTTTCTACTTTGTTGTTTTTCAGTCAACGCACTTGGCCTCACTGAATCACTCTCCTGCAGATAGCGAGTGTGGAGTCAGTCTAATTACCAAGTGACACATACACATGCTTATCTGATTCCGCCTGGGAGTGGCTTTCAATCAGCATTAAATTGCTAACTGACATAGTGCCAGTGTAATACAGCTCTTGGGAACTGGTCTCCTAGCACTGACTGAAATTTTGATTCTCACAAGTGGCTTTCACAACATTGTATAAATATGAATACAAACATAAATAGTAAATAAATACAACAACACAAAATCTTCAAGTTTACAGACAACAGTGTTTATATAGAGAAATTCGGCTTATTAAGTAGTAGTAGTAGTAGAAGTAGTAATAGTAGTAGTAGAAGTAGTAATAGTAGTAGTAGAAGTAGTAACAGTAGAAGTAGTAAAAGTAGTAATAGTAGTAGTAGTAGTAGACTAAGCTACAACGCCCTGGGTTCAAGGCTGAATGGCGAATGGAGCTATGGCTGTAGGACTACTGCAGTACACCAGACCTGCTGAAGGTAGGAGAAGCTTCAAGTCAGTAGTACTAGAGAAGTAGTCATTAAACCGGATATCGAAAACGATGAATGAACTGTGGAATATTTTCTTTTAGTACGTGAGCAAATATTGATTTAGACTTGGAGTTTATAAGAGCTGATTTATCTCAACACACAGCAGGGACCATTTTTCAGATTTTTCTCCCTAAGCCATCAATATTATTCAAGTGATGATGATATTAAACACTAGTGACAGTAATGTATCAGCCTGAAAACAGCCCCTGCTCCTCCCTCTCTCATCCCACTGCGGCAAACGTCCCGACGCTCTGATTAATACGTTTGAGGTGGCTTTTATTACATGACCGCGACTGGAGTTAAATGGATGAATTAATCAGAATTATCTGATGAGGAAAGTGTTCGTTTCAGAAATCGTCAGTTACCTTCTTCAGAACGGGGGAGATCTGCACATACGTGAGAGTGGACGAGACAAATGCACAATAAGACATGACAACACAAGAAAAGCGTAGCAAATCCCTTTAAGGCAAACAAACCGAAACAAACAGACTGGCATGGCAACGAGACAACGCCATTTTTTTTTAAGGTGGAACCAACTGTTTTGTTTTCACTTAAGACTTTGTGATTTACGAGACAGCTGATTAATCAAAGCTGATGAGCCTAATCCCAAAGTAAACATTTCCAAATTACACCCAATGGCGGTTGCTCGAGGGGCCCCGCTGCGTTTTAACTGCAGAGATTTGCTTGTGCTTCAAAAATGCAGCCATTAAACCAATTATTTTTCAAGCTGTGAGTCAAAGTGTTATTAATATTCATAGGTAACAACACGCTACATATTTTATCTATCTAATTGTAATCTGAGGGGAAGGCAAAAGTCAAGTTTTGTCAGTCTTACAACTTACAATCAGACAAGGTCACACACTTTTGGATACTTTACTGACTACTAACCAGGGGAAGGAATGCTGAGCTAATCAGAATAGTACATTGCTACAATACCAACAACTACATTATCTACTGTAACTAAAAGCTATCAGCGATAAACCGCACTGCTCAACAAACCTGGGGCTTCAGTGGAAACATGAAAACTGCCATCTAAACACATGAAAGGAAGCAAATGAAGCAGAACCACCCATGAATACCTGGACCTTGTACTGGTAAAGTCTGGAAACTAAATATTGTATTACTAGTAAATATTATATGACATTTTATATTTGTAAGAAGTGGCAACATAAGGACAAAATATGCCTAAAAGAGTGATGCATCCGTCAGAGTAGAGAGTAGGCCTCCTGTAAGTGTTTTTCATACCTGGGTCACCTGGGTGTAGAAATTTTTGTATCAATGACATTTTATTAAAACAATTATTATCAAATCAATAAGAGAAAGAATTAAGAATGAGAAATAAACTGGGATATACAAACAATACTTATACAAATATCTAAAAAAGTATATAAATACAAGGAACAGCTCATGCTATTTTTGTGTTGTAACTTAGATACAGCCCGGGTCTTTTGAACAGCGGAATATAAATAACATGGGATTGGATTTGATCATGATCCAGAAAATAACAAAAACCGTCAAAACAATCCCTTGATAACAGACTGCCGATGAAAAACAATCATACATCACAACTTATGTTAATTTGAATAGGACTCAGATGACAGCTAGATCTGATGTACCCACCCACAAGACAAGAAAATTAGAGCTCAGCCAAAAACAAAGAGTCTGCAGACGATCAAGATAACACTGAATGCCGTCCAAATGTCTCCAAACAGATTTCATTTGGAGTCAAGTCAACAATCTTACATCATGTAATAGAAAAGCACGATGAAGAGCTTCTTTATTAGTTGGCCAACAGATGGCGCTAAACACTAAAAAAAACAGGTTTCCACTATTCCACCTGCTTTTTAGACACATGCTGTTAAATGCATTGGAAAAAGTGTAATTGGTTCAGCATGAAAATAAGTGCTTTTGAAAAAATTATCCTATTATACAGTGGCTGGATAGAATGATGAGAAAAGCATGAATAAAAATGTACTTACGGACTGGCTCGGTTTTGAAGAACTCCACTGAGCTACTCTCTCCTTCTCCCTTGCCGTTGACGGCTGATAATCTCACTTCATAGTTGGTCTCTGGGCTCAGGCCTGTGATGATCATGTCACTGACGACGCCTGTCACAAGCAAGGGCATCATGATTCAATTAGAAAATCTCTCCAGTAAGAACTAAAATTGCATATTCTTTTTTCTGAGGACAACAATATTGATTCAGCATAGAAAAATACAGAATAGCTGCGCTACGAATCGCAATCAACTGGAAATTGCTATTTTTCTGGTCGCAGTTAGAAAATTGTAAAGACTGCAATTTGAAAACAAAAGAAGAAGAAAATGTCTATTGATTTAAGTTTATTTTTGAAGAATTGTCAATGGCAGAAGTGGTATTTTCTCATTACAAATCATTTTCCTAATCACAGGTCTGACTATAGGTACTTAGTGAGAAAATATTAATTCAAGTGTATATACATTCAAAACATTTCTTTCTTTGTATTTTCTTCTAATATAAAATACTTTGTTGTAGGTTAGAAACATGTCCTGAAATGTGTTGGTAATTGCTTCAACAGTATGCCTTTTTCAAATGTATGGATGTACCTTTACATTTTTTTTCCTTTTACTTAAACATACAGTACAGGATACTGACAATCATATCACTATCACAATATTGGTCTTCATTAATTTGCAATTGTACATTTCACCAGTAACATTTACAATCCTTCATCATGACCACTTAGACTGGATGAATAATCGGTAGTTGATCTTTAACAGGACACTTGTTGTGTTCGTACCGTCCTGGGCCTCGAAGACCTTGTGATGCCAGCGGCCGCTCCCGGGAGCTCTCCACTCGGCTCTGTACCTCAGAACAGGCACTCCTCCGTTCGACTCGGGCTCCTCAAACTGCACCTGTGCCGTTGTGGAGAAGGGCCGGACCTCACTGACCGCAGGGGCTGATGGGACGTCTGTGACAGGAGACGCACACACTGATTACTGCTGAGATCAAACGCACGTTGCCTGATGATGTACCTTACAACAGATGCACATAGAGAGATGCATTCTCTGGGTTTCTTCTATAAGAGTTCCCATTGATTTTCAAGAAAAGTAAGAGAGGCACAGAATAATAAACTGTTTCTTAAAACTTTCTCATTTTATTCACATGAATGATTATTGACTTTGAGCCCACTGGTGATAAAAGAGAGAGAAGCCAGTGCAATTACTGACATTAGAGAACTGTGGATTTGTCTGTTCATTCTCAGGCTACAGTGTGAGTAGTTGCTGTGTTATTGAGCGATGGTGGGAGACTACACAAGCATGCAGCACCAGTAGTGGTTATTTATAACCGTGCTAAATAAAATCCTTAAGGCTGTTTGTTTTGTTAAACAACCGAATGAACCGAAGAGGAAATTATCTGTCAGTGGTTCTTTCAGCGTTTGAGGAGGATATAAAAGGCATTTAACAAACACTCAAGAACAGACAGTATTCAAAGAGTGAGCTGAGTCTCTTTGGTAGCTGTGGAAAATGTGATTGATTAACTTTATTATACATTTGAAAACAGTTCTCTGGATCGTGACTGACCAGCTTGAATCAGAAGAAACTCCTTGGACTCTGTTCCCATGTCGTTCGATGCTGTGCAGTTGTAGCTCCCAAAGTCATTCTCTGACTCCGGAGTTATCTACAGGACAGAAGGGAGAGCGGCACGTTTACAGTACGAAGGCAAAGAGGCAGAACAGATGAGGAAAGTCGTGTCAACCCTCTAAAAGTGACCTTTATGTTTGTCCATTAGTGCAGCCTATTTTTATTTGTAGTGAGCTTTCCTTCTAAATAATTCAGGACATCGTTTCCACAATGTAGCTGAAAGAAAATCCTTCACTTCAGTTCAATCCTCATGAAATCTTGATGATGGCGGAGAGTGTGAACATTTTAATTGTTCGTTTGTTTGCGCTGCTGTGTACCTGCAAGTAGCTGGAGGAGGGGGTCCTGAAAATCTTGATGTTGGTGGAGTTTGAGTTGGGCAGCTGGAAACCGTCACGAAGCCACGTAATAGACACTTCGCTGGGGTAGGCCCTGACCTCGCAGCTCATGTTGACAGAATTGCCCTCCCAAGTGTACACCGCCACTGTGCCATGGATCTTTGGAGCATCTAGACCAATCAGAAAAGACATTCACATTTTCAACAATGGACTGAAAGGAACAATACAACCGGGTATGATTCATGCCAGCCTTTGTCACCGCTGAGAAAGATGCATGTCCTACAAAAGATGCCTTTTGTGGGACTTAAAAACTAACACAAAGCCTCTATATTTAACTCTGCACTTTTGAAATGAACAAAATACTTACAGTTCACCTCCAGATACGCTGCTGATGTGTCTTCCCCGATTGCACTTTGAGCTGTGCACGTGTACTGTCCGGCGTCTGTGTACTTGACATATTTTAAAGTCAAAGAGGAGACGCGAGCATCACTTCTGACAACTACATTTCCATCTGGGCTCTAAAAATAGAGACAAAGAACCATTCAGACTTTTTTACATTCACAGGACAAAAACACTGCTGCATGGATGTGTAACCTGAAAAGATTAAGAAAGGAAACCGAAAAGGAACAGTAGAGAAAACAGTAAATAATTAATGAGGCACGAGAGACCTTCAAAGCTTTTCACACTGAGGTCTCACCATTGGAAGAACATGGCGAGCGGAGGAAAAAAAGAGCTAAAGACAATGACATCAACAGTCTTTCTACTATTACGGAAAGAAAATGGTCAAATAGCGTAAAAATACATGCATTGCGAGTTATTACATATACATGAAGTGAATGAAAATCTAACTCTAGAACAGAAATGAGCTCGAAAATGCCTGTTCCTGCACATGCCGAGGTCTAGGTGAAGCAGATACACTGAGCTTCCTGGGGCTGAACTCGGGGTCAACCAGCCCGTTTAGTTTCACCTGTCGTCATTTGATATGGATAGCGTCCTTTGGGGTTTGTAGCATAGTAGGCAACTCACTCACTCTTTTTAATTAATGCATTTTGAGGTTTAAGGTGAAGGTTCAATATCAAATAAAGTCTTAGCACAATATAGCTTGCATAAAACATAAAACGCATTTTTTACCAGAGCCACAGCAAGTTTGTAAAGTAAATTAAACAATTGAAGAAGCTGTCAACTTTTCTAGTTGAAATTCAAGTTTTATGACTCCTAACATAGCTATGGATCTTGTATAAGACTTTTTTTGTGCAATTATGTTAAAACTGAGCTGTCCATTACAACAGTCTGCACAGGTAATTTTCCAATTTTCTTATTTGAAGGTTCAAAGCAAACTTATCTCTAGGCGACGTGGCAGATGCTTTCAGAGAGCTTCCGTATTTTGCCTTGGTATAAACGCATTTGAAACTCTTGTTATGTTGCTCATGCTGTGTACAGTAACAACAATACATCATGTAATATGACGTGAATAAAATATCCATAGAGCTGTAATTAAGGAGAATAAAATGAAAGAATGTAAATAAGTATTAAACAAATCATCTACTCGGCTCTAACTTTGTTTTTGCCAAATCTTTTTGAAAATTCCCTGTTTACATGCCTTTCGAGATCCATACAACTTATGAATTAATCAACTGAATAATCAGCCAACTATGATTCTCAAAATAAAACCTTAATTACATCTTGAATATTAACTTAAAACCTCCAGATTTACTTTAGCGCCGCTGTTAATGGTTTTATTTTCAGTGGACAGCACCGAGACTTGGCCTCTGTTGCTCCCATGGCTTTGATCCAGGCTGTCGGCCAAACAAAAGCACGGATGCTTTTACACATATTGAATTAGGACCCATCCGGGCAGCCATGTAAGAGAATACCTCCTTCGGTTGTATTCACATTCAATAGACAAAGCGCGTCTGGTCCATTCATTATGCATAACGGGTAGCAGGGGCAGAAACACAGTTGCATAACGCAGAACCCCTATTCTCAGACCCCAAGCACGAGCAAATTTCTCTACAACCTGGAACCCTGACATCTGCGCCCCCCATCCAGACACATGTGAACGCCACAGCAGCTCTGATAAAACCCTCCACCAGACAATACACCGTGCCTCGCGGGCTAACAGTCAATACTGAGCATTAAGAGGAGCAAGCCAACAGCTTTCTCTGCCTCTCTCTCTCTAAAAAAAAAAAAAACACGAGACGCATAGCTGAACATCAGGCCATAAAATTAAAAATGCCAGTACATTGAGGGTATGTGGCCGGAATACAAATGCAGCCTTCTTGGACTGTACCTTTTCAAATAAATCACAAACATGTAGCGCATTCATACATGCTTTCGCCATCCTCTCTGGATGGCTGACAAGCAATAAAAACATGCTCTCACAGAAATAAACAAAACTACAAGCAAAAATATTTTCAACTGATAGAAGGACATATTAAAAAGTACTTTGCCACAACATTGGAAAACATCAAAAGTCTCATCTTCTACCTTTTAGAAAACTCCATTTCTATTAAAGCTCCCGCCGAAGATAAAGCCGAAGCCAAATGAGAATAACTTCGCTCCACTTTAAAATATTGCCCGAGGGGAAAACAGAATTTCTCACCATTCTCCCCTATGTAAACCCATATTCTGATTAAGTTGAAAAAAGCTCTTGTGGTGTGGGCGATTATTTCTGTGCCAGTGTTAATTTGTTTCAGGAACAGGCATCTGGCTCCTACAAAGCTGTCATCCGTTCTCTTCAATACACATTTAGAATTGACAGGCAAAAGCTATAGATAAATGCAAGTAAAAGTCATGAGATGGAAGTTTTGGCAGCGAACCAGGAGAGGACATGTGGGTGGAAGAAGAGGAGATTTTTTTTCTTTTTGCTCTTCACAAACAGAAGCATGCGACACAAAACACTCTCTAAAGATGGAAAAGCACCAGGCAGATGTCCTGTTCTAACTTGATCCAAGATGAAGCAAAACTTAAACGTATGAAACAAACAAAAATAGTAGACGAGACAAAAGCAGGTCTTGCTCCCTAAACTTTAATCCGAAGTTTCAGTCTACATCCATGTCAGGCAAAATGGGATTCCTGACATGAAAGACGGATGGATGTTTGGAAGAAAAAAAAAGGCATGCATTGAGAATACCTTGTGCTGCTCAGGCCGAGTCCATGATGCCTGTAAGGACAGAACAACAAACAAAAGGCAAAGCAATTCTTAGGGAAAAATATGTACGCAGACGAAGCACATTCTCAACTGCCTTCTTATCACGTATGTTGACGAAAAAAATGGCAAAAAAATGTATCAGGAACAAAACAAAATGATAGTTGCAGTGATTTTCTGTACAACTGCTCTTGCTGCTGGAATAAACACCCACCAACATCACGATAACAGCCTTATGTGTTTAGATAAGGAGGTCATTGGTTTATCAGGAACAAGCTATTAAATGCTGCTATGTAAACATCTCTGCTGAAGGGTTTGCCACGGCCTTGTCACAATAGACATGCTATTGCTATTCTGTTGAGTATCTGTTTAAGCCATCTAATCATCTAGAAATTAGGTGTTTTGCTCACATAATATCAACAAACATGCTATTACATTTTTATATAGTGGACTTTTAAACATCTCAGCTATGGTTTTATGTGTGACATGTCGTGCCTTTTGTCATATATTAAAATAAATTATCTTTGGATTTCTAAGTGGCAAGTTCTTACTAGTTAATTCATAATTAATCAAACAAGTCATAGTTTGGAATCTCAACACCGCAGTTACAACACAGGTTAACACCACTAAAAGCTTTTTGGAAGGCATGCTTAGTGAATGCTAAGATGCTATTATGCGAGACAATGCGATGTAATGGCCCACAAAGAGAGAGCACTAAAGCATTAAAGACATGAAAAACAGCTATTTCATCAGGTGCAAGATATCAAAAGGAAAAGCTGAAGTCAAGGAATGGCCCATTGAGTGTTCTTACACATATACAATCGGTTTACATTAGATATAACAAGAAGACAAATGGATTTCAATCAATTCTGAATTGCAAAATGGGAACTTTCTAGTCTCTTTACGTACAAGACTATAAAATACACCATTATTTCCATTATTCCTTAAAACTGTGTGATTTGTTTATCATAGTACATTTAGATGAACTGAATAGAATACAGATTAATAGCGAGTATTTTTGCGAATTCACGCATAATAAAGTTTGGTTTCTTCTCTCTAAGAATAGTTAATTTCTAATACCAAATACAACCGTGCTTTAAAATGTATAATATATTCTGAAGGGCACTGCGGTTCTCAATCACAAACAAGACACACTCCACTTGCCTAAGCACACAGCCAGAAGGAGAAGGTTCCAATTAAAACATGCAATCCAATAGAGAGGAGCAGGGACGCCTAACTTCCATACAGTGGTTTACAGAAGAGAGAGAGCTGACAAGTCACGCTGCAATATCTGTGACAGGTGTTTGTTGAAGACAAAGCCCAGCGAACAACAGGAGACAGCATACACTCTCCAGCAATGTGACGCCAGGTCCCAGAGGACATCTCAGCATTATGTTCTCCACTTCCACCAAAATCCTCCCTGACTTTGTTCTAATATGAAACAGAATGGTGTGCCGTGCAGGGAACAAGAGGATTTGACAAACAGAGTATAACGATGAATAATTCTACCACAAACCCTGTCCCGTACTGTATGTGGGTTTATTATTATCCTTTAGCCGAGGATAATTCTTTCAATCGCACCCTTTATGCAAATGATTGACTCTTAGTATTCACAAACAACAATGGTCAGGCAGCCTCTGTATTCAACAAGCTTGAAAACACCCAGAAATCTCAATGATAATAACTGTACATTTAGTCAATTTCATGAAGCAGAACAAACACTGAGCAGAACCTTTTGTTAAATGTCAAATACAACAGAACAGCTGAATACAGTGAGGTGCAATCTGAAGAGTGAAATCTTTCATGACAAATCCTGCTTTTGTAACGTACAGTAGCACTAATGTTATTGTATGAAAGCAAAGCCGTAAGCCCTTCTTTCTTTGAATGTTCTTCATGGTTATCAACCCTTTTTATAGACATTAAAAATCGTGTTCTTTTACCGTAACTTAATCTGAGAATTGATGTTTATCATTTTATTTGAAATATTTAGAGACAAAGAGTAGCACTGGCTTTGGTCGTAGCAATCCTTGATGAAATACAGTTGTAATGATACAAAAAGCATGGCAAACATACACCACATAGACACAGAAAGAACAATTAGCTGCCACCGGCCAGTCCCCATGCAGACATTAGAGCCCCTGAGTGATGGAGAGAAACTATGTCCAGACATTCATCTATCAGCGTCTGTCTACTGAGCCAAACACACTGCCACCATCACATGACGTGTCATAGGACTTAAAGTCCAGTCTGGACACTGCACTTGTATGGAGGTCTCCTGTGTAACACAGTTCACCTGCATGGGAGTCTTCTGGCATCTTTGAAACTGGTGTTTGGGGTTGGAACAAACCATCTGATGACTCCTATTACGACAGCTTCTCATCAGATTGTCCACCCGACAACGAAAATAGAGATGCAGCAGATGGGCTGTGTGCTCAGCAGTAACATTGCCCTCATGAGGAATTGACACTGCTCTCACAGGCACCAGTGTAAACTGTGGCTGAATGGTGCTCATGTGCCAGTCTCATGTGGTGGTAATGTGCTTTACAGGGCTCCACCAAAATACAAGCGACACTCAGGCCTGTAGTCGGCAGGTGGCTCTGCATTTTGTCGTTCTATCACGACGGCTACAGACCTCCTCATCTGTAGTACAGTGAAAATTACACATAGCCACCACTCGACAGGAGAAAGTGTTGCTTTAGTTGGATTTTAAGTGGTTCACTAAAAGAAAATAAGCAACAATGAGATTTTAAGTAAATGACACCAATGTTAGACAGTCTACAGAACAATGATATGAAAGACAGAGCTGGGCTTGAATCCAGGCAACCACATGCTGTGATGGAGAATTCACATGATCAGGTAACAGCGACACAGAAATGCTGCTTCCTTTCGGTCGTCATTATTGTCAATCTCCACAAATTGAAGAAATTTCCTTTGGGATCAATAAAGTATCTAACTAAATTACTTATATTTCCTTCTAGAGCATTTTGTATCATTGCTCAAGTACATTTCTGTGCCACATCATTGTCATACCTGATAGATCCTGTTAAGATGTGCCTGTTGGGAGAAAATGGAGTGCATGTAATGGGCCTGCTCCAGAACTCCATGGACTACAGTCTTTCAATTGTTCACCCACTTGGATAACGAAAAGACAGTATAACCTTGAAGAACTGGCTGTATGAGCAACACATGTATGAGAATACCAATTAGGTATTCATTGATCTGGATGCTGTGAAAATGTGATATTTCCAGCAGTATCAAGGATGTAATGATAAGTTAACAAGGAGCTGTCCAATAAATGTACCAAACTCAATTAATTTAGTACCTATCTGTAATCAGACAATCGCAATGGAAGAATGATTCAAGTGCATATTTGAGCAAACACAGAGAACCAGACAGCCCCACATGATGTCAATTATTTTGGCCCTTAAACAGTGCGATTACAAAGAACCATTTATTGTACAAGATCCAATCTGCTGGATCAGGATGTTATTTCGGGGAAATAGTGGCTGTAATCCTGCTGTAACAAAAGTGCATCTGCGAGTGATCAATATAGCACTTGAATTTAGGTTAAAGGTATTCAATTTCTCTCCTTAGAACATTGGTGCCCTGCTTTACTTTGTCTGCTCCCCCGGGGCTACTGAGAGCCCTGAGTAGAAGGCAAGACCACAGCACACATGTGCACAATCGCGTTATAGAATGACGTTTTCAGTCTTCTGTATTTTCCCAGTGTTGTCCTTTGCAGAAATAGGACAAAGACACTAAGCGCTGACATCGTGCAGGTGTGGTTCATTACCGGATAAGACAAACGCTCACAGGACACCAGGATTCAAGAAGGAACGTTCATACCGTGGATTCAGGCGTTTCTCTTGCTCTGTCGGTTGTAAGGTTTCAGACAACCTGTTTACCTGGTCTCCTTCAGTGAAGACGTGCTCACTAGAACTCCAGCTGATGGTGGGTGTGGGGTCACCAGAGGCCTCACACGTCAGCGTTACCTGCTCCTCCATCTCTGAGCTGGTTTGATTCACGATGTATGTGATCTTGGGTTTGACTGTAAAACACACAGGGCTTGTTAGAGCAGACAGTCAGGTTGGGCTGACAGGTGACAGAGATAGTGAGGAGCAAAGAAACACAAGTTCAAAGACTGTGTGAGAATCAGGGCTCTGACAGGCAGGATATCTAAAGACTCAATACATGGATTGTCTTTTCTATCAGACGCTTTAAGCACACAACTTTCTCATGTTCTCCAGGAATTCCAAAGCAGACCTGACAGCAATAGACAGATTTCTCAAGATAATATAAGAGAACGTTTGCTTGTCCCACAGAAGGGAATTCCAACTTCAGTGTCATTGCACATTACATGACAGTGGAAATAAATGAGCACTTAAACAAGATAATGATGGCAATAAGATGATAAATAGTTGTAAATATTTAGAGAATAGATAAAATAAAGCTCTGTGTTTTTTTGAGGCAAAGGACTATAATTAACAATTGCATATTGTTCTTAAAGTGATTGTCTGCAGTTTGTCAGAAAGAGAGAGAGAGGTACTTAATTTGAAAAAAACGACGCAAGCTCCCTCCCCCTTCCTTTCTGATTGGTCCACGCCAGTGGGGGCGGGTCCCGGCTCAAAAGTGGCCAAAATGACGTGCGCTGACATGCTTGCAATACCACCCCGGGCCGATGGGGGCGGACCCAGAAGTAGAATGCTAACATATAGCATTGGTAGACCTCAATGGCTCTACCAATGGCCCAAAAGCTCCGTTCCACATGTGTGTCAATGCTGAGGGGGGTGAATTTTTTTGGACCAGTCTAGTTTACTTGCTGTGAATTTTTGAAGTCTCTCGTTCAAATGCATGGAGCTCTCATCAGCTGACGCCACAATTTTCTTGTGGGCGGGACCACTTGCGGCCATTTTGGATAGCTCCAGTAGAGCACATTTTTTGGCGGAGATAGGCGTGACTCTGTCCGTTAATATATACAGTCTATGGTCAACGCCTACGTTTCCGTAACACATTTAAATGTTAATGAGAGAACACATTATACTTACACATTATTAATACACATGCACGAAGGTTTTCAAAATTATTTGTCAACGTTTTCATAAAAAAAAAGAATGTTTTAATGCACAAAAAAAACGATTGCAGCAAACCCGGAAGTAGCTATTATCATGAATTGAACATTATAGGACACATCTGCAGAGGATCTGATTATGGATATAGGTTCAATATATAAATGGGCAACTCAGTGCGGATGTTCAGAATTCTTTGTTCAGTTTTCATGTAGTTTCAGAGCCTAATGGAGGCTTGATTCAGAGGCTGAATGTGTTTTGAATGCCGCACAGACCATAACAAGCTTATGTGCTGGAGCAATTTACTTTTTGAATGGATTGTAATTAGCATGAAACTCATTTACTGTGCTTTGTATCTCAGTGTAAACATAGGGAAGGTTGTTTAGCAAAAATCCTTGTTAGCAAGTGAACCTTAAAATGGCATAAACAGGTGAACAGTCGCCTGCAGCTTTTGGTCTGCAGTGCAGCTCTGAATATTGTGCATGATAAATGTGCTGAATATAAATGCCAGCACACCACCACTATATATCCTCCCTGACTATAGCTATTGTGCACTTTTTCAGCCTCCTATGTGTGCTGATTCAGAGACACCTGCATTGCCAATCAATATATTTGAGAAGCCACATTAAACATTGAGTTAAATTGTGTCTGTATGAAGGCAAGGCAAAGCAAGGCACGATTATTTGTATAGCACAAGGCAACTAAAAGTGCAGAACAAAACAAGATAGAAACCATCACGAAAGGCATAAATAATCACAGTACATTAAAAAGAGTAAAGATAAAATCTCTCAGTTGTATGCACAGCTAAACAGAACCTGGATTTGAACATTGTCAGAGAAGAAGCCTGTCTCACATCTTCAGTAAGACTATTCCAGATTTTACCGGCATGAATCTGAAATGCGACCTCACCATGTTTAGTTCTGACTCTGGGCAGCAGCAGGAGTCCCGTCCCTGTGCTCCTCAGAGTCCGAGTTTTTTCAGATGGGACTAACATGTCACTTATGTACTTTGGTGCGAGGCCATGGAGATACTTACAGTACAGACCAAAAGTTTGGAAACATTTTCTCGTTCAATGAGTTTTCCTTTCTTTTCATGACTATTGATTGTAGATTCACACTAAGGCTGTGTAAGGGCTATTTGACCAATAAGGAGAGCGGTGGGTGCTGGCCTTCACAGTCACCGGACCTGAACCCAATCCAGATGGTTTTAGGGTGAGCTGGACCACAGAGTGAAGGCGAAAGGGCTAACAAGTGCTAAGCATCTCTGGGAACTCCTTCAAGACTGTTGGAAGACCATTTCAGGTCACTACCTCTTGAAGCTCATCAAGAGAATGCCAAGAGTGTGCGCAGCAGTAATCAGAGCAAAAGGTGCTACTTTGAAGAACCGAGAATATTTAACAACTGACATATTTTCAGTTGTTTCATACTTTTTCTTTTAGTACATACATAATTCCACATGAGTTAATTCATAGTTTTGAAGCCTTCAGTGTGAATTTTCATAGTAATGAAAATAAAAAGCTCTTTGAATGAGAAGGTGTGTCCAAACTTTTGGTCTGTACTGTACACGGACACGGACCCACGGTACAGACCCACATCCTCCCATCACCACCTCATCAATGGAATCACATGCTCTGCTTTCAACACCTCCAAGGTCTGGACCCCGGGGGGATTGCACCTTCATAATCTCTACTCAATTCCCTCCTGCATACGTCATGCAATATTTATGCCAGGGTCGAATCGCTAATCCATATCCAACATTTCATATTGCAAAATGCAATAAATAATATGATTCCATAATACATGTCAGGCGGGTCTAAGTGTCTAATCATTCAGTAACATTATACTGCAAACAAAACTCAATAAGCATCATTCTAATGCATCGTTTGTCTCAATTCTTTCCAGACTCAAATATACTGGGGCTATAAAAAGAAAGCCATCTGTAAAGTACTGGGCAACACGGGAGATAACTCTAAAAAAGCAGCTAGATCTACATGATGGCCTTTTGTTGCAATACATACATTTACATTATACTGTACACGGCGCACAAAGGAATTGACTAAACTGTCCTGATTTCACTGCATCGACCCTGTTGGCCTCTCGGGTACATTATTGTATTTTGTTCAGTAAAGTTGTGTTGTACAATATAAATATTTTGATTGCTTGTACATCTCAAAGAAATCCCATATAATACAAATTTTGTGATTTAGACTTCGGACATAAGGATACCATATTTTCTCTTCTCCCGCCCACTATCACTGTTTTCACGGCTGCTGCAGAGAAGAAATGATGGCAAACAAATACGCTCTTACCAAACACTCTCAAGCTGAGCTCCTGCTCGGCTTCTCCGGCCTTGTTTTTGGCGATGCAGGTGTATTCGCCTTCATCGAGCTTAGATACATCCATTATTGTAATTTCTGATCCATCTTCATTAAAGCTGTACTTCTCCCCGGCTTCAAGAACCACTTTGTTTCTGTGAAAACAGGCACAACAATACGCAAATTTACAAGTTAAGTAAAAACCAGTAGAGAAAGTGTCTGAACAATTTTTCATTATCAATAGTTTCTTTTCATTGTTGTGTTTTGCTTAGTAAACAGTTGTGTTTTGCTTAGTAAACAGTCAGTGGCTGGAAAAGCAAATGAGAAAAGCAGAAGCTATCAATAGGCGCTTTGACATAATGGGGATAGTGTGACTATTGTAACAGTCTTTGGGTTTCACTGTGAGGACGCTCCTTTGATAGTTGTCTTACATTGAATCAATTTGCTTGAGAATAGTATTTCCTAGTTTACAAAATATTAGCCCATTTAAAACAACAATAATGTTACCTTTCCCATGTGACCATAGGTTCAGGGTAGCCATCTGGAGCACAAGTTAACATGGCAGAATTTCCAACCTCTGCCGTAGCATTGACTTCGGACTGCCACACCCTGATGGTTGGGAGCACTGGGAGCACAAAAAGAAAAGGAAAAAGACCAATCAACAACAGAAGAGAAAACAGTTTAACATGCAACCCCTTAAAACTCCTTTAAACTAAACATAAATACACACAACAGCCAAATAATAGAGTTCACTATTGTTTATGCGGGTCGCTCATAGCAACTGTTTCTAGACAGAGGCCATTGCAGCTCTCTGAGGAACTACAGAGCACTTGAGCGTCACAGAACACCTGCCGAACAAAGACTGAACAAAAGCATCAAAGAAACAGCAGCACTGACCGTTCACCACCACTTTGATGACCCGCAGATCAATCTCCCCACGAGCAAACTGCCGGGCCTCACACGTGTACGCACCCTCGTCCGTCTTCTTTATCCCACGGATTTGAAGATGGTTGTTGGGCAGGACTTTAAAGCGAACTGATACAGACAAAATGAATTGTGTTGAAAAATGCAGATTGTATTCAAGGTGTAAACTGTGAAACTTTCGCAACTTTGACTTTGCAGTGAGAGATCGAGATGTCATCAAAATGCAAATACATATTGAAAGCCTTTGAATGAGACTGAACGTGAATCATGGGTCTATGGCTTTTATAATTAATATGAATTTGAAATAACATAATTCTACTCCATTAATATGAATAACTCTTTCTTAATTCTTAATTTAGAAGGCTGTGTCGAATGCGGACGACTTCTTAAAAGGATAAAAATAAATCTTTCAATATCAGTTCTTTCAGATATGATTTGATCAGCTGTGTTTGCAAAAGCTAACCCTAAGAATAAAGCATCAACCTTTCATGAGGAGCAGGAAAAAGTATTTTTTTGGAGCATGGGTTAGGCTCAGCATTGTTTTTTGGTTTTTTTTGTCGACTGTAAAAACACCAAACCTTGATCAAATAACAATAAAAAAAAAAATCTTCGCTTTTCAGATCCAGGAACGCTAATATCAAGAACTTCTGGCAACATGTAACTCTGCTCCTGTCTCATTCCTATAGCAGTATGATGTCATTCTACCGGTATGACATCATAGCGGTTTTCTGCCTTTTGAAACAAATATTGTGGATCAGTTTGGTAATGTCTCTTCTTTCCAATCGCATGGTTATGTTTGCAGCCGGTAATGCTTTATTTAGGAAAAAAACAAAGCAAAACTCCAGCCTCAGGTGGTGGCATTAGGAGTTAAATTTCTTTTTTACCACACATATTACACTTAAAATAATATGTCACATTCCAAAATAAAAAAAAATCACCAATAAAATAGTCTCATTGTAATTGTTAATGGAAAAAATGAGGCATACTATTTCTCCTTTAAATGTGCCTTCAATAAAAGTGTGTCCGTGAGTCTTTCAAGTCTCACCATCCTTATGCATCTGGATCCTGGCTCCTTTGTACTTCCAGAAGACCGTGGGCGGAGGAGAGCTGGTCACATCACACACAAGGTTGGCATTGTCTCCTTCTGTAAATTCTTGTCGCGATGGAGCATTGGTGAAGGTGATTCTCTCTGAAACCAGGACAAATAAAATACACTCATTCACCATTTATCTTTTTTACAGAGAGCAGTTCAATCATATAAAACTCATCAAGAGTAAATGAAAACAACCATGGTGGACAAATAAAACCAGAAAACTGGAAATAGAAGTTGATTTGGAACTTCATGTGCACTTAATTTTCTGATACTTTCCGCTCAATCAAAATAAAAGTCATTATTTAAAAGCAATGCACAACAGACAGGATAATTAAGCAGCTCCATAATGGTTTTCCGACCGCTTATTGAATTGATAAAAGTCTATCCTCACTCTATAGAATAAAGTCGTGTTTTTTCTCTTCAGCGGTGGACAAAATACTCTTTCAATAAAAAGATGTGTTCCATTTACAGAAACTTGTGTGTAACGTACGGAATATTTTGACGTTGACCGTGGACTCTGCTTGCTGATCTCCGCTGATGGCCACACACTTGTAGGTCCCTGCATTGTCCTCTCCAGCGTTGTACAGCGTGAGCGTGGACGATGACTCATCGTTGCGAGTTACTGTGATGTCCTGTCTGTTGGGCTCTATGCGATCGCCTTTTGGACCAAACCAGTCTATATGTTTGGGAACTCCAACCACTGAATCACAAAAAATGTAATTACACAGAAGATAGAGCATCTACACTGTACATGGTTTCAACATGCTTTAAAATGCTTTGGTCCACATAGGACACTTACCTTCACAGATGAAGAATTTGGACTCTCCAAGACTAATCTCTCCGTGACTCGGGGTTATTTGCACGTCCAGGGAAACTGCAATAGATAAATGTGAGGAATAAAGACACAGTCTGAAAATGCTATTGTATAAAGTGTTAAAGGGGCATTATTTAGTATAGTAGAATTTCAGATTTCAAACAACACTCACAATCTAGAATTAGCATAAACAGAAAATCTGGAAAAATCTTTGCAACATTCCTAAAAATTAAACAATATAAAGAGTTTCAGTGACACACAAGAACAAAAAATACTTGAAATGAATCTTTGGAACCTCCAAGTAATAGATCTACTGTACAGGCAGAGAAGAGGTGCTACCAAAGCTACCCCAGATTAGAACTCCAGCGTTGTTTCTGTTGTGATGGTGAATCAGCCCTTTCTGCTTCCATGAACTATCATTGTTAAACTCAAAAAAACTCAGTGTGTTTGAGCCTGTGTAGATGTAGGTGTGGTGTTGTCTAAAGCAACTAGCGTTAGCAGCTTAAGAAATTTTAGCAGTAGATTTAGAACCCACATTCAAATGTCTTGTCTCTATGAAAATATGTGAATAAACGGCATTCGGGTGGGCAAGTGTGGTTTGATCGCACCCCCTTACATCACTTTGAGGGGAGTTTTCTCTCCCAGTGCACTGTTTTAAGAGGTAGACTGTTACAGCTCAGAAACCATGCATGTGCCTAGAGGTGCAACGGTTTATCAATGATCGGTGATAAGCGGTTTGATTTATGAAAAGAAAGTTGTGCGCACGTTGCTCAGTCCACACACAGCGCGGTCATTGCAACCAGAGGAACGGAGGAGCTTGAAAGCCCCGCGTCATTTAAATCCCCAGTATGAGAGCATTTTGGCTTCACTGTAACTATACTGATAATTAATATTCGACAAAACTGTCACGATGTGTAAGCACTGTGGCACAAGAAAGAAATGAGCGAAAAAAAGCGTCTCAACGACCGCTTATTGTCGCGGCATTTAAGCAGCTTCTTTACGCACAGTCAGACCGTGCTAAAGTCAACTCTCCCGCGCATCCTCAGCTGAGCTCACAACTGACGCTTGGACGTCCCGCGGAATCTATAATAGATCCATGAGCGGAACCGCTCACTTCATCACCGCAGACTGGGAGATGAGAAATCTGGCGCTGCAGACACGCCCCCTCTACGAAAGTCACACAGTCACACAGCGCACGTTCTGACACAAGCAGCGGAGGAATGGAAGACAAAGGTCCAGTACTAATATTCCAGTCACAATTTATAATGCCAAAAATTTAATAAATGCAGTGAATGAGGCTGGACTAGGCCCAGGATGGACCGCCTCCTCAGGTGGTTTAATATATGAGGGTAAATATCCTCATAAAGTGCCTTCTTATGTTGCACTTTGTGTGGCAAGAGCTCTGGTGTGTGTCGTCTGGTGCACACTGGGGTAGTCTTGCACAGTTTTTCCTATGTGGTTTTACTGCAAATGGCAAATAAATGAATCTGAATCTGAATCTGTTGTTTTTAATTAATTATGTTAAATAGACATAATTGGATGGATGGAATATGTCTTCCATCCATCCATCCATTTCCTTCCCCTTATCCATTTCTAGGTCAGGGGGGGCAGTCAGAGCAGGTGCCGAGTCCACATGAGCTGTGTTTATTAAAAAGACAAAGCTTTTTTTTTGAAAAATGAACCAAAAATGAACCGAACCGTGGCCTCTGAACCGAGGTACGAACCGAACCGTGATTTTTTCAAACCGTTGCACCCCTACATGTGCCTAATACTTTTAGTGTGAAATTGTATTAGTGCACGTTTGAAATAACCTATTTAACAAGGCAGTGCCTTCTGGAAGCTTCAAGTATGAGGAAAAAAGTTATTTTTTTAACCTAAAATATTACATCATCTTGCTTTGAAGTAAAACATAAACATATTCTGTTCAAATACAGGTTGGGGATAGAGACTAAAAAACATGTATCAAAACAAAAGCTTTCAGAGGTCAATGCAATTAATATTCTGTAATATTCTGTCAAGGCAAGCTGTTTACCAAAAGATACTTATTTTGCCTGCGACCTCAATATTCAAGTTTCGAAGTATTCCAGAAGAGTTCATTTCAGATCAAGCTTTGAGCCTGAGCATCAAATTGCTACATAAAATACTATCCTGTTAACATATATTCCTGTATGGCGAAATAGTAACATTGTTTATGATTGGCTGGTCTAATGAGAACAAAGCATCTCTTGTCTGTCTCTGAACCTCCTGCGGGACCGTCTGCATACAGTGGACAAAAACTGACTAAATAGCCCAGAATCAGCCCCAAATTGCACAGTGCACATTATGCACAAGCAGCAACGTGACCACCACTCCCACAGTCTTCTTCTCTCTGGGCAGCCCTTCTGCGTTGGCAGTAAATATAAACCCTAGAATAGAGCTTATATTTTATTTGTGAAAACCACTAAATTATGTCGTATTATACGTTGTATAATAAAATGCAGCATTCACATCCAGAAGAAAAGGGCACAAAATTAGTTTAAGCTGGTCTCTTGGTTTGTGGTGAGGCAGGGTGATCAATGTTAAATTATTCTATTAGTTGAACTATAAGTTCAACTAAATGCGTACAGTATATAAGATATCTTGTCTTAGACCATTTGAGAGAAAATAAATTAGTCGACACATATTATCAACCTGGAATCTGCTCAACAAGAATGTCAATGACCATTATTAACCCCATATGTATTTTTAACGTGTATGTGGATTTTAATGTCTACGATTTATGTCTGATGTGATATGGGTTGTGAGGCGCTTTGTGTTGCCTTGTGAAGGAAAGGCACTCTACAAATAAAAGTTGATTGATTGATGTTAGCCACAACTGTTACTGATAATGTTACTAATATAATTATATTACTTTACATGATTGAGCCTTTGAGGTATTTTTTAATGAAAACATGCATTTTACAATCAGCACAAGTTACTAATGTATTCACTTCACACCAAGCAAATCTGCACACCTGCCCATCAGGGATTTTCACAATGAAATCATTCTGTAGTCCAAAGCTAATTAGTTCACACAGTGGCCCTGTGCACTCTGTGTGGTCCCTGTGCACTGAAGTACAGTACCTGGCTTTTTAGCAGGTACTTCAATACAAGACTGGATAATTGCTCTCCAACCAAAGCACATACTTTTTAGACATAGAAAACACTAATGAGGCTCACATGCAAGTTAAAGAACTAGTAGGGGGACACTCAAATTACAACCAAAAGTCACTGTCCTAGATCCTAATAGAGACGTAATCCCACTGAGGCTCTCCAGAAACAATTTTCCTTCTAAATCCATCCCAAGGTCAGTCTACACATCTGGATCGGCGGTAATGTAAGATTATGGCACATTCACTTGTTCAAGTGAACTGTGCCGATAAGCAGGGCTAAGAATCAAAGCTCAAAATGTTCATAGACTTCCCTTGGCTCTCTTTCTCCTTGCTTGGAAATCACTCCATGGGGGTCCAATAGTGTTACAGTGGTAAAAGACTAAACCAAACTAAACTAAAGCAGTGTGCCTTAGCCGGAGATCAGACTCTGTGTGGAGGAGACTTGAAAATTAAACCGGGTCGTCTCCAAGCTTGTGGTGCCTCACTTTCAAACCACAAAAATATGGAACAATTAAATAAAATCTTCTTACTTGTTTCTCAAAACAGTATGAAATATCAATAGTTTTCACAGGCATGTAATTTGGTGTCTATAAAACTGTACATCAATATTTTCAGACAAAAAATTGAAAAAGAGGAGCACTTTTGCTCATTCATGTCAAAGTATCAAAGAGTGAAAATATCAACAAGCAAAGATGCAAGACAATAATGTTCACTAATAAGATAAAGACAGCATATTGTAGTATTTATGTATTAATCTTTTTATATTATAATAAGCTGTCACCAAACAAACAGGCTGTTCCGTAAGGTCACTCTTCAGAACATGGCAGACCTACATTACTTGTGTTCTTGCTTTTATTTGCCTTTTGCTGGCTCGAGTGAACCCACAGACTCTCGCAAATGGAATGGGCTGGAAAGTACAAAACATAACATGGCGGAAGAAGAGATTAGCAACAAGGATAAATAACTTTTTAAACAATGCAGTTTCAAAATGTACTATTTTAGTTCTCAAATTGACAACATGCAACAGAAGCAAGTACTTTGCAATTATTTGCAACTGATTTGTTTTTCTGGGGGCGGGGGTTTCATTTTATTTGATAGAAGAGAAATAAGCCTGTTAATGCCTTTTAGTTCAGCCACACATGGACTTATACATAATTCAAAAACAAAATACAAACAAAAAATTATCATAATAATTCTGTTTTCTTGAGCTTGCATGGACGTAAACCTTGCAGAAATCCCCGTTTCATGTCTAAAACTACCTTGTAATTGAAATGCTAATTCAGGCGAAATCATATAAATGATTTTTTACACCGAGAGCCCAGCCCATCTGAATGCTGCACAGTTGGTTTATGGTTTAGCATCCCCCTGACTGTGGGCAAAGTCACATTCGGATGTTGACTGATTATAACTATAAGAGACAGCTTGCCGTGTCAATAATTGATGTCTCTGTGGGTCACCAAAAGACCTTAATGTTGGTACAGACTGGAGAGTGAGCAAATTCCAATCATAAAGCGCATTTTGTGACATAGAACAAGAACGCAGAACATCAAACACGGCCAAGCCTAATAGCGGTGGCCGTTTTTTTGCCGTAATTGGCATATAAGCAGTGAACCACGGCTGCTTTGAGTTGCTATTTGAAGTCCATGCATTTTTTTCCTGCTCTCAGCCCAAAGGCATTGTGCTCTTTAATACCAGCTTCTGCACATGTGTTTGCACGTGAACCAGTGACGCCAGGCATGTGGTACTAGCGGTGGTGGTTGAGTACTTCTTGAATGAAAATGGGTGACATTGACATCCTCAGGCGACAGTAATCAGTGGTTGCGGAGAGAGATTGTCTTAATAGCCTTCTTTAGCCTGGACCTATCTCCTCTGCTTGGGCTTGGAGAAGAGGTTTACCACAGGAATGCTGGGACTCTTACAACACAGATA